TGGCGCCGAAAACCAGAAGGCGCCGAACACCTATCCAACGCGGCGCCGAACACCCGGGCGCCGAAAACCAAAAGAAACGCCGAAAACCCAAGGAGCGCCGAAAACCAACGATGCGCCGAAAACCAAAAGGGCGCCGGAAAAACCAAGGGGGTGCCGATCACCACAAGGGGGACGAAAACGAAAGGGGCGCCGAAAACAACAGAAGTTCCGAAAACGGACAGGGCGCCGAACCCCCCCCCCCAAAAAAAAAACACAAAACCAATGGGCCGCTAAAAACAGCAGCAGGGACGCCGGAAACCAAAGGGGCGCCAAAAACCAAAGAAGCGCCAAAAACCAAAAGAGCACTGAAAACCAACAATGCGCCGAAAGCCAAAAGAGCGCCGAGAAACCAAAGACTCGCCGATACCCAAAAGGGCGTCGAAAACTAGAGGGCCCCAAAACGAAAAGCACGCAGATAGCCGAAAGGCGCCCGAAACCAAATAGGCGCCGAAAACAAAAGAGCGCCAAAAACCAAAACGGCGCCGAAAACTGAAGGGGCGCCGAAAACCAAAAGGGCCCTGAGAACAAAAGGAGCGCCGAAAACCAGAAGGGCGCCGAACACCAAAGTAGTTCCGAAAACCAAGGGGGCGCAGAAAACCAAAAGGAGCGCCAGAACCCAAAGGGGTGCCGAAATCCAACGATGCACAGAAAACCATAAATAGTGTGAAGAAAATCACAAGGGGCGCCGCCGAAAACCACGTGAGCGCCGAAACCCACATGGGCGCCGAAAACCAAGGAAGCGTCAAAGGCTCCAAACGCGCCGAAAACCAAAGAGGCGCCGAAGACCAAAGAGATATCGAAAACCACAAGTACGCCGCAAACAAACGGGGCGCCGAGAACCAAAGGAAAGAAGTAGCCTCGTACCCTCTTCAGCCAGGGCCCTCCGGCTGGAGAAACCCATAGAAGGAGGGAAAGGGGGGTAGCTTCGGAAGTCCCCCCCCCCCGTTAGGAAAGGGATACACGGGCTTACCCTGGGCCCCGACAAGGAGGGTAGCTTACAAGCCCCCCCCCCCTTTAGCTAGGACCCCCCAGCTACAACATCCAAACAACATGAAGGAGGGGGGTAGCTCCGGAAGCACCCCCCCTTGAAAGGGGAGCTCAGGCTGACCCCAGGCCCCGAAAAGAGTGGGGAGGGGAGGCGGCTTCCAAACCCCCCTCCCTTTAGCTAGGGCCCCCCGGCAAAAAAATCTCCACACAAGGAGGGGAAGGGGGGTAGCTTCAGAAGCCCCCCCCACTTTTCCAAGGGACGGGGGGGTAGCTTTAAGTCGGGCGTGTCCCCCTACAGGAGGATTTTGGACGAAAAAAAAAAACGATTCCCAAAAATATTCAAAAATAGCGCCCAGACTTTTAACTATTTTGGAGTATTCCCCCGGTAGAGGGACAGGCATGTTTGTTTACGCAATGCCTGAAGGCGAGCGTGCCAGTTTGCCCGTCGCCTGGGGCCTCCCCAGGGCCTCCTGGTATACCTCCTGAGCACGACCGAAACGTTTGCCGCAACGAAGGCGCCACCCAGGCCGAGGAAAGCCGGCCCCGTCCTGGGCATGGAAGCAGCGGGCCCACCGCTACGGTTCGGACGCCCGAGCACGGGAAACATGAGTACGGCGTCGAGCAGCACATGCTCTCTAAGACTGACAGCGACCTCTGTTGGGCAGGCGGCCTCCTGCCTGGAAGGGACAGGGCACGCGTCGGCACCGACAGCACATCCTGCTCAACAGCGGACAGGACCTGCTTTTAGACGAAAAAACGCCATAAACATAAAAGTGTTGGCGCTCTGCGCGGGTTTCTTGGATCCGCGGTGGACCCCCCTCCCTGGCCCGCGGAGCGCGCCAGGGGGGCGCCGGAAGCGCCGCCAGGGGGGCCCAACGCAGATCCAAGAAATCCGCGCGGGGCGCCACACTTCTTTCTTCTCCGACTGCTGTCGGTCTCCGTACCCAGTCTTTCCGCACCCCGGTTGATCCTCCAGAAGACATGGTTCCACCCTGCAGCGGTGCCGAGAGGGTGCACAGCGGCCGTGGCCTGGCCAGGCCAGGGGCGCCAGCCCCGGGGCAGCCATATACAATGGTGCGGCGGGCCCCTGCCGTGTTCGACCGAGCCCCTCGCCGCGGGGCCGGGCGCACGGAGCGAGGCAGCAGGAGCGTCCCTCGGGGCACCCGGCGGGGGCCCAGGCTGCAGACCGCCATCCCGACGCGGCGTGGAGGCGCGGGAAGAGCTCCAGGTGGGGCCGCTCTGCTGGCTGGGCGAGGTCCCACAGGGGCCCGTCGGGGGGCTTCGAGGGCGGCGGTGCGGTTCCGCACCGTGCCCAGTGGCTGCCCTGCGGCGTCGACCGCCGAGTGGCCGCGGCCAGGCGGACGCGCGGGGGGCAGAGCCGGACTGGGGGAGAGGGCCTCGGCGGGGATGGCCAGATCCATCGCCTTGACCGCCCTGGTGTGATACGAGAGAGAGAGAGAGAGGGAGACTGAGAGAGAGAGAGAGGAACATAGAGAGAGAAAGAGAGAGCAAGAACGAGCGACCGAGCGAGCGGGAGTGGGGAAGCGGAACAAAGAGAAAGAGAGAGAGAGAGAGAGAGAGACGGGGAGCGATAGAGAGAGGGGAGGGACGGTTGGGGCAGAGAGAGAGGAATACGTAGGGAGGGTGAGAGAGGAATTTCAACTTACGGAGGCCACCTGAGGAGAGGCGGACGAATGACCTACGATGGCATATGACCAGGGTATACAGGCGAACGGCGAAGATCATGAACAGGCGCAACATCACTACTGACCCAATGCTCGCATGAGACAAAAAAAGAGACATCGCGTTGGATGTAGTGGCCATAATCGTCGAGGAACACCGTGTGCACTGAGGGTATCCGCAGGCACGCATCTCGGGCAGCCACCATGCCCAGAGGAACCTATTGTCATTCCACTTCTGAGATCCGGAAACTCCACTAGGTCCACTCGACTCCCGCCTCCATCAAGCTACATAGTTATTCGTTGGGTTAGTTGTAAGTGTTGCTGAGCTGGCTGCACTCGGAGCGCATGCAGAACTAACAGATAAGAAAAGGCACTGGGACATGCTGACACATGCTGTCTAGAGGACCGTCACTGCAGGTTGCCCAAACAGTGAATGTACTTAGAGGTTCATACAAGTTTTCTAAGGAACTGGACCTGCTTGTCGGTCTGGCGGCTGTCATCGCCGTCGCTGCCCCGTCGCCGCCCCGTCGCCGCCAGTCGTCTGGGCCTGCGGGTCGGTCTGGCGGCTATGTCTCCGTCGCCACCTCGTCGCCGCCTGTCGTCTGGGCCTGCGAGTCACTCTGGCGGCTATGTCGTTGCCGTCGTCGCCCCGTCGCCGCCCGTCGTCTGGGCCTGCGCGTCGGGTCCGCCGCCTTGTGGTTGCCGTCGCCGCCCCGTCGACGCCTCGCCACCGCAACAAGGACTGCACCACATAGGTTTTCCTTTGTGAAAAGAAAGTCAAGTCTACCACCATCCCGAGGCGGGCCTTAGCGGGACCCTGCAATTTACATATGATTCTGCCCCACCGCTGATTACTCGTATAGCTTCAGACCATCCCAATAGGCCGGTATCACCCCCCCGTGCCCACCCTCATCCCTATCAAATAACACCATGCGGGCACACTCACATAGCAAAAGTCATCCAAGAACCCCTTGCGAAACATGACACAGAGTCCACACGCGCGCGTCGTCGCGCGCGCATGCCGAATTCTTCAAACACCATAGATGTCGGAAGCATGTCTAGATCGAGGTCCCGGAAACATATAACAACATATTAACGCAACTGGTTGTTCAACATGGCTTGTCAAATTATCCAGGCGAAAAAAAAAGAAACAACCAAATGCAATAGTAAGCACCGCGTTGTGGGAACGGACAGCTTTCGATGGCGCTCTTTTTGGGGCCACGAGAAACGTGTGACGGGGTTGCCTAAACGGGTGCGAGCTCCCTATGAGGCCACGAAACGCGCGAGGGGTGTGCCGAAACGGGTGCAAGGTGCTATGCAGGCGTTGCAACCAGAACCTTGGGTGGAGCTCCTTATGACGTCACGAAACGTGTGAGGGGTGTGCCGAAGCGGGCGCGGTGGTGCCATGCGGGAACTGCCACTAGGGCCTTAGGTGGAGCTCCCTGTGGGACCACGAAACGTGTGAGGGGTGTGCCGAAACGGGCGCGGTGGTGCCATGCGGGCGCTGCGAAACGTGTGAGGGGTGTGCCGAAGCGGGCGCGGTGGTGCCATGCGGGAACTGCCACTAGGGCCTTAGGTGGAGCTCCCTGTGGGACCACGAAACGTGTGAGGGGTGTGCCGAAACGGGCGCGGTGGTGCCATGCGGGCGCTGCGTGCCGATGGTGCCATGCGGGAACTGCCACTAGGGCCTTAGGTGGAGCTCCCTGTGGGACCACGAAACGTGTGAGGGGTGTGCCGAAACGGGTGCGGTGGTGCCATGCGGGCGCTGCCACTGGGGCCTCGGATAAAGCTCCCTACGGGACCACGAAACGTGGGAGGGGTGTGCTGAAACGGGTGCAAGGTGCCATGCAGGCGTGTCCACTGGGGCCTTGGGTGGAGCTCCCTATGAAGTCACGAAACATAGGGGGGGGCCGAAACAGGCGCGGTGGTGTTTGTCACTGGGCCCACCGTTGGAGCCCCCTATGGGGCCACCACGAAAGTGTGCCGAAACGGGCGCGGTGGCGCCATGCGGGCACTGCCACTGGGGCCTTGGGTGGAGCTCCCTATGGGGCCACGACACGTGTGAGGGGTGTGCCGAAGCGGGCGCGGTGGCGCCATGCGGGCACTGCCACTGAGGCCTTCGGTGGAACTCACTATGGGGTCACGAAGCGTGTGAGGGGTGCGCATGGGCAGCTGGCGAAGAAACATTAGCAGGCACCAACCTTCAATCAAAAAAGGACCCCTGAGGCAAGCCTACTTCGGGAACTAGCCTGACGAAGAATCCAACCATTTGCAGCTGTGAATACCGCAATTACACATACCGTCTCAGGTGGAACTCCCTATGGGGCAACGCCCGCATGCGGGCTGTGTCGCTGTGGCTTTCGGTGGAGCTCCTTGTGGAGCCACGAAACGTGAGGGTTGTGCCGGCACGGGGTGTCGCCCACATGCGGAGACGCGACTTGGACCCCTAACAGAGCTCCCTGGGAGGCCACGAAACGTGTGGGGTTGTGCCGAAAAAAGGGTGCCGCCCACATGCGGGCGGCACCACTGGGGCCTGCGGTGGAGCTCCACATGGGGCCACGAAGCCTGTCGTCTGGGCATGCGAGTCACTCTGGCGGCTATGTCGTTGCCGTCGTCGCCCCGTCGCCGCCCGTCGTCTGGGCCTGCGCGTCGGGTCCGCCGCCTTGTGGTTTCCGTCGCCGCCCCGTCGACGCCTCGCCACCGCAACAAGGACTGCACCACTCAGGTTTTCCTTTGTGAAAAGAAAGTCAAGTCTACCACCATCCCGAGGCGGGCCTTAGCGGGACCCTGCAATTTACATATGATTCTGCCCCACCGCTGATTACTCGTATAGCTTCAGACCATCCCAATAGGCCGGTGTCGCCCCCCCGTACCCACCCTCATCCCTATCAAATAACACCATGCGGGCACACTCGCTTATCAAAAGTCATCCAAGAACCCCTTGCGAAACATGACACAGAGTCCACACGCGCGCGTCGTCGCGCGCGCATGCCGAATTCTTCAAACACCATAGATGTCGTAAGCATGTCTAGATCGAGGTCCCGGAAACATATAACAACATATTAACGCAACTGGTTGTTCAACATGGCTTGTCAAATTATCCAGGCGAAAAAAGAAACAACCAAATGCAATAGTAGTAAGCACCGCGTTGTGGGAACGGACAGCTTTCGATGGCGCTCTTTTTGGGGCCACGAGAAACGTGTGACGGGGTTGCCTAAACGGGTGCGAGCTCCCTATGAGGCCACGAAACGCGCGAGGGGTGTGCCGAAACGGGTGCAAGGTGCTATGCAGGCGTTGCAACCAGAACCTTGGGTGGAGCTCCTTATGACGTCACGAAACGTGTGAGGGGTGTGCCGAAGCGGGCGCGGTGGTGCCATGCGGGAACTGCCACTAGGGCCTTAGGTGGAGCTCCCTGTGGGACCACGAAACGTGTGAGGGGTGTGCCGAAACGGGCGCGGTGGTGCCATGCGGGCGCTGCGAAACGTGTGAGGGGTGTGCTGAAACGGGTGCAAGGTGCCATGCAGGCGTGTCCACTGGGGCCTTGGGTGGGGCTCCCTATCAAGTCAGGAAACATAGCGGGGGGGGGGGGCCGAAACAGGCGCGGTGGTGCTTGTCACTGGGCCCACCAGTGGAACTCCCTATGGGGCCACCACGAAAGTGTGCCGAAGCGGGCGCGGTGGCGCCATGCGGGCACTGCCACTGGGGCCTTGGGTGGAGCTCCCTATGGGGCTACGACACGTGTGAGGGGTGTGCCGAAGCGGGCGCGGTGGCGCCATGCGGGCACTGCCACTGGGGCCTTCGGTGGAACTCACTATGGGGTCACGAAACGTGTGAGGGGTGCGCATGGGCAGCGGGCGAAGGAACACTAGCAGGCACCAACCTTCAACCAAACAAAAAACCCGAGGCAAGCCTACTTCGGGAACTAGCCTGGCGAAGAACCCAACCATATGCAGCTGTGAATACCGCAATTACACATACCGTCTCAGGTGGAACTCCTTATGGGGCAACGCCCGCATGCGAGCTGTGTCGCTGGGGCCTTGGAGCTCCTTGTGGAGCCACGAAACGTGAAGGTTGTGCCGACACGGGGTGTCGCCCACATGCGGAGACGCGACTTGGACCCCTAACAGAGCTCCCTGGGAGGCCACGAGACGTGTGGGGTTGTGCCGAAAAACAAGGTGTCACCCACATGCGGGCGGCGCCACTGGGGCCTTCCGTGGAGCTCCACATGAGGCCACGAAGCATGTTAGGGGTGTACCGGAACGGGGGTTTTCGCCCACATGCGGGCGGCGCCACTGGGGCCTTCGGTGGAGGTCCCTATGGGGCCACGAAGCGTGTGAGGGTGTGCCGAAACGTCGGTGTGTGCCACAACGGGGCGTCTCGCGCGAATGTGTACATCGTTCGAACGGCCTTGCGCGCGTGCTGTCCCAAACCCCTTACAACAAACATGACGAAGTGCACGCTGGCGAGTCGTCGAGCGAGCATGCCGAAATCGTTCGACAAAATAGCAGGTTTCGTAACTGATTCAAAATCGAATGTTCCGAAAGCATATAAAGCCTGCGCTCGCGCTCTTTCGAATTCTTAAGATAACCATTGTATGTGTCCAACATGTTCTTGGAATTCTGACAAACGGGCCTCTCGCGCCGCATGTCGAACTCATTCGAACGCCCTTGCGCGCGTGCTGGGGGGCACGATCCGTGGCGAATGATACCTCGCGGGCCATACGCGCGCGTCGACCGCGCACGCATGCCGAACTCCTTCCACAGCCTGTATCATCGACGCGAAGACACTATCATCGTCATCGGAGTGATCAGCATCGGCGCCGCCACTCGGAGTGCAGTCGTCATGGTCATCCTCGTCACCAGCATCGCTACTGTCATCATCGCGTCTGCTTTCGTCGATGTTGCCATGATACCGCGCCCACCAAAATCGCCGACTCGAACTGAAGTGCCCGCTTGGACGTACCCAGCGGTCAGCGCCACCGCGGCCGCGTCGGTCGTGCCAAACTAGCTGGCCGCCGTGCGCGCGAGCATTCGCGGGCAAGCGCGCCCGCAGAAATATACCAGCTAGCGCCAAGCACCCAAAACAAATGCCATGCTCATGCAAACATCCCACCCACCCACCCGCAACTTGGTTTACAAAACCCGTGCGGCGGCGATTGCGATCAGTGTTTGGCGCTGGCTGGTGCATCTCTGCGGCCACGCTAGCCCGCGCATGCTCGCGCGCACGGCGGCCAACTAGTTTGGCACGATTGACACGGCCGCGGTGGCGCTGCCCGCCGGGCACTTCCGAACGGGCACTCCAATGCAAGTCGGCGAGTTGGGCGGGCGCGGTATCATGGCGACGCCGACAAAAGTAGGCACGATTATGAGAGCAGCGATGGTGGCGGAGGTGGCGATGACAAACGGCAAGGCCAATGACGGCGAAGATGTTGATCACGCCCGCCGCTAACGATGATGATGTACTCGCATCGATGATGAAGATTTTGGAAAGAGTTTGACATGCGGGCGCGGCCGACGCGCGCGACTGGCCCGCGTGGTATAATTTGACACGGATCGTGCCCCCCCCCCACCCCCCCAGCGCGCGTGCAAGGGCGTTCGGATGAGTTCGACATGCGGCTTGGGAGGCCCGTTTGGCAGACTTGCATGAAAATGGTTGGAAACCGGTGGTTGTCTTAAAGAATCCGCGCGGGCGCGAACGCAGGTTTTTTTTTGGAAAATGGATGATGCAAATCCTTGTGTGCTCATATGTTTCTGGGCACTTGATTTTGAAATCCTTACGAAGCAGCGATTGCTTAAAGGATTCCAACATGCGCGCGCGACGACGCGCGCGTGCGCACTTCGTCCCATTTGTTGTAAGTGGTTCTCGCGACTGCACGCGCGGAAGGGCGTTCGAAAGATTTCGACACGCGCGCGTGGCTAATTTGGAAGCATGCTGTGCACATGTTGAAAACCGATGGTTCCCATGCGAATTTACAAAAAGGCGGGCGCAAACTTGTTCTGAAAATTCGTGTTGCGAAACCATGTGCTTGTTATGTGTTTTCGGGAATTTTGAAATCCTAAGGGAACCGAAGGTTGCTTTCAAAGAGTTCGGCATGCGCGCGCGACGACGTGCGCGTGTGCACTTCGCCCTTATTTGTAAGCGGCTCTTGACACCTGATGATCTTTGATAGACGAGAGTGCGCGCATAGCATTTGCTGCAGAGGATGGCGGGGGGTCGATACTGGTTGGGATGGGATGGTACGAAGTCAAATCTAGAATTGACGATGGGGCAGAATCATATGTAAACTGCAATACGAAAAAGGGGGTAAGTCCTGGGGGGAGGTAAATCCAAATTCGTTCTTGACAAGGAGATCTACATGGTGCAACATACGCGGTTGTGCAAAACATGCTGTGTACTCACGTGGCGCAATCTATGCTGCTCAGTATATGTGGTTCAACCTATGTTGCGAACGATCAAAAAGCGCGCCGCAAGCGATTTTATCGTCCAATCTACGTGGCGCAATCCAACGGCGGCGACGGGCGGCGACGAGGCGGCGACAGGGCGGCGACGGGGTGGCGACGGCGAATGCACAGCCGTCAGACAGACAAACTGGCCCAGACGACCGGAAGCGACGAGGCGGCGACGGGGCGGCGACGACGAGGACATAGCCGCTAGACCAACAAGCCGGCCCCGTTCCTCAAAGACAAGTGTGAGCCCCTGAATGCAAGCACTGTTTGGGGAATAGTGCACAAGTTTGCCCGACAGAGATTGCACAACGCACATGGCACAGCATAGATTGCACAACCTATACTCTCCTTTCTAGAAAAGAATAGACTCCCACCCCCGGAGTTAACGATCCCCCATCGGGTACTGTGATTTCATGTTTATCCTGCACGCACGTCCAAAATAAGAACTCTTACTACCCCAGCCAAACCGGTATTACTCCCCCCCGCCATCCTCTGCAAAAAATGTTATGCGCGCGCACTCGTGCATTAAAACTCACAAGTTCCAAGAATGCCTTGCAACAAATGAGACGTGCACACGCGCGCGTTGTCGCGCGCATGCCGAAATCATTCAAAAACCTCGGTTTCGGAAGGATTCCAAAATCGAGTTTCTCCAAAAACATATTAAAACTCAGGGTTTCGCAACACCGATTTCTTAAAAAAATACGCGCGCTCTTGCGACATCTTAAGAAAATCACTGTTTCTCAACATTGCCAAAAAGTACTACCAAACGAGCTTCGCGCGTACGCATGTCGAAATTGTTCGAACGCCCTTGCGCGCGTGCCGCCGCGAGAATCCTCTCGCGACGCGCGCGCGCGTCGTCGCGCGCGCATGCCGGAATCCGTCAGAAACCTCTGGTTTCGGAAGGATTTTGAAATCGAGTGTCAAAAAAAAACCTACAAAAACACAGGGTGCTGCAACGTGGATGTTCAACAAAAGCGTGCCCGTTCGCTCTTGCGTCGTCGTCGTCGTCGTCGCCGTCCTCCCTCCTCCCTCGTCGTTGTCGTCGTCGTGATGATGGTGATGATGACGATGATGCTGATTAGGATGATGATGATGTTGTTGGTCGTCGTGATGATGTTTTTTCCGCGCATATATTTTGGAGAGGGAGAGGGAAGGCAGAGGGGAGGCGGCGAACCATCGATGAGCAACACACACCTCGTCCCACTCGGTGCAATCTGCGACTACCGCCGAAGTGAAACATGCGGAGAAAGACTACTGTAAAAGCCAATTCCCGCGTCGCGCGAATGCCTCAATGAAATCGCGGCAGACAGTTAAACTCGCGCGTGCGTACCCCGTACCAGTACATCCTGGCGGAACTCGCACTGGTGCCCAACGCAAGTGTGGAGGAGGGCGAACGAGGAAGGCGGAGAAGACGCAAATCAAAAACCTGCAGAGAGCCTCGATGCCGAAGCAGAGGAGCCAGGACCACGCGCGGCCAGCGTACAGTGCAGCAGGCGGAATGTATAATGCGCAAGGCGGTACCTGTATGAGGATACACGCGATGTCACAAACTATAGTCGGAACTCGATGTAAATAATTGTGCGGGGACCGTGCCCTCGCGGCTGAGTGGGGCCACGCACCTGGAGGCACCAGAAGACGCGCGCCACAACATGCCGGAACACACACGCCACGGAGGAGGGGAAGGGAGAAGGACGAGGAGCACGGAGCAGGGAGGAGAAGGGCGGAGGAAGCACGCCAGCGACCTCGAGGCGGGCCGAACAGAGCCTGCGGAACATGAAGGGCGAAGCACTCGGCAGAGAGGCGAGTGCCTGCGCTCCAGGGCTGGGCGGTCCGCAAGCTGGCAGGCCATGCGACGGGGGAAATCACACACAGTGGACGCAGATGAACAGCAATGCAAGACTCACCCCAAATTACTAAAAACGAGCGGACAACAACATCGACCACAACGCACGCACAAGAGGGACGGAGGGATAGCACGATCCACTCCAGCGCTTGGGGCCTCCACAGCCGCCCAGAGACCAGATCAGACCTACGGCGCTGATCAGAAGACGGCAGCTCGATTCGGGAGGCAGGGGGACGAGGCGAGGACGGAGGACGGAGGAAGGAGGGGGGGGAGGGCGACTGCACGCTCCACTCGGGCGCTCGGGGCCTCCTCGGTCGTCGTGATGATGTTTGTTAGGATGATGATGATGATGATGATGATGATGATGATGATGATGATGATGATGATGATGATGATGATGATGATGATGATGATGATGATGATGATGATGATGATGATGATGATGAGAAGGAGGAGGAGGAGAAGGAGGATGCTGATGCTGATGCTGATGCTGATGCTGATGCTGATGCTGATGCTGATGATGATGATGATGATGATGATGATGATGATAATGATGATGATGATGATGATGATGATGATGATGATGATGATGATGATGATGATGATGATGACGGTCATGACGACGGCGCGCCCCGTCGAAGATAAGAGGGAGGAGTGCGAGAAGGGAAGAAGGAGAAATCAATAGAAGGAGGAGAAGGAAGAGGAGGAGGACGACGACGACAAGCGCTCTTGGGAGGGCGGGGTTCGATATGTTTAACAAAAGCGTGCGCGCGCGCTCTTGCGTCGTCGTCGTCGCCGTCCTCCCTCCTTCCTCGTCGTTGTCGTCGTCGTGATGATGGTGATGATGACGATGATGCTGGTTAGGATTGAGGATGGTGATGATGACGGTCATGACGACGGCGCGCCCGGTCGAAGATAAGAGGGAGGAGTGCGAGGAGGGAAGGAGGAGAAATCAATAGAAGGAGGAGAAGGAAGAGGAGGAGGACGACGACGACAAGCGCTCTTGGGAGGGCGGGGTTCGATATCTCGATTTGTAATTCGACTGCAGCCCTGTGGATGTCAATAGGCTGCGATATGGAGATATCCATAGCCCGCCTCCGAGATCGAGATATCGAGATATCTAGTCTGACCCCGCCACCGCACCCCGGTACGTATCCATAACCATCACCATCATCATCGCCACCATCATGTGCATCATCATCGTCAACGCCGACTTCGTCATCCTCATAATATGGACCTCTCACGTACCCCTCCGACCCCCTGGACCCCTCTGGCGTACACTCAGAAAGTGGGGAATTTGTCCTCAGGCACTCCCTGCGCCGCGGACGGGACCCGCTCGAGCGGGCCCGTGCGGGCCCGCAGGCCGCGCATAAGGAAATTCGGATCCTGGGATAGAGAGAGGCGAGGCGCCGTGCATCGAGCCCTGCCCCGAACGCCCGCCCCCGATATCGAGATATCCAGATATCGAGCCACCGCCCCCGGCCCCGCCCACCGACATCGAGATATCGGGACATCGAGTCCCCGCCCCCCGGTATCGAGATATCGAATTATCGAGGCATCGGGTCCCCGCCCGGCCCCGCCCCCGATATCGAGATATCGAGATATCGACATATCGAGTCATCCCGACCCCCACCGGGACACCTTGCGACCAGAGTTCAACTTCCTGCGTGTGGCTTCCTGGGATGTGGTGAGGCTGCTAGGGCCTAGTATCTCTGCCGATTGAAGGACCTGCAGTTTATCTCAGAACCCTGGGGCCCTCTTGCGACGGACAGGGCGCTGCTGCGGCGAAGCCTCCAGATTCTCAGAGCGTTGAGCACGTCCTGCACGCCGGCAGTGCTCGGCAGAGGAAGCAGAACGACATGAGGACGTGTCTGAGTTAGTCAATGACGCACTTCGGGCTGCGCGGCACGCGGTTACCTTCGCGACCTCGCACCGCCCCGCGGAAGAGAGCAATTGTTCGGCCAAGACCGCGGAGCGCGAAGCTGTGATCTTCGGGCCCCTGCGCGTGCGTGACCCAGGGTGCGGAAGAGCTGCGACGTGTGAAGGCACGCAGGATCGACAGCCGCAGAGAGCATCGCAGGCGCCAATGGGGCGAGGAGCCCGACAGCCGGGAACGGCTATCGAAATCAACTGCCAGGTGTGCTCTGAGGATGCAATCGCCAAAAGGCTCCAACGAACAGCTTTAAGACCCGACAACTTGGGCGTGGCTTAATGGGGGGGTCACAAATGGGGGGGCCAGAAAAGGTCCCCTTTCGTGCCCCTGTCGGGCCCCTCTGGAGCCCCAGGGGGCTCGTTTAGGTACCATTTGAATACCTTTTCGGACCACACTCGCCGCCCTCCCATTTATGATCCCCCATTACGCAGCGCCCAAACAACGTGGCAGACCAAAGGACGAAACGGAACGAGAAGGGACCCGAAAACGCAGCAGACCAGAGCACGAAGCGGATGGAACCAACGGCATCGAGCCAGAGCAATGCAGCCTTGGTCTTGCGCACAGTGGTCAGCGTTCAGCAGCTCATCGCGGCCACACGCACACGCTGTGACACTCGGGCAGCACGCGCTCAGAGAGGGGGACGCGGCGCGCCACTGCTGCATCGTGCGCCTCACACTGCACAGCGGGCAGGCGTTCAAGCATTCGCCGAATTGCGTGTCGCCCCACTCGGCGGATGCTAAGATTGCGCGAGGTACTACGACCATTAGCCTGGACCCAGCGCGCTGTTCTCTACGGGTATCGCTTCCCTACACCTGCGCCTGAACAACTCCCACTGTAGTGAGCGCATTCCCTGCAATGCATCGTACGCGTATCATGCTTTCAATACAACGCGTCCTCCATCACGGCCTCGTAAGTATGCTTCGCGTCTATGCGGACAACCTCCGCCTTCGAATGGCTCAGCAGTCCTGCCCAGTCGTCATCACCTTTGCACCCAAGATAAATAAGACTAAGAAATCATGGCAGCATGTGCGGTTGATGGTGTCCATCTGAAGCAGCACGTGTCCATATCTATAGACACACACTTCTACAACTAGGTGTACATATATGCATATATGAATATCTCCATGCGCATTTGATTTGCAGTATACACATGAAACATATACTAATACCACGCGCGCGCTTCGCGCGCTTGGGCTGTAGCCGTGCTGGGGAACTCGCATGGAAAATTGCCAGAGAGGAATGCAACGGCGGTTCTGGAGCTCCCTCGGGGTTGGTCGTGGCGCCCCCGGATCGGGGCGACAAAAAATGATACGTCCAGGATTCGAAGGGCATGGACGATCAGAAACTAGGCTTACCAGAGGTGCTCAAGAATGAGAGGAAGGGGAGGATAGGTTCAGATGGATCGATGGGGAATGGAGCCACCTCCAGCCGTCTTTGGGCTTTCTTTGGGGATCTTGAACGGACGCATGCTGGAGATGCGATCTTCAGCGTCTTTGGGGGCGTTTTGGAACCGTCTTGGAGGCCTGAATGGCCATATTGGAAGTCTCTTTGGGCACTTGTGTAGCCAATTTAGGGGGCATCTTGAATTGTCTTCGGGCCCTCTTGGGGCCGTGCCGAGGCCGTATTGGGCCCATCTTGTGCCGTCTTGGAGCCTTCTTGGGCCAACCCCCGTGCTCCGTTTTGAGCCCCTCTGGGGACCCTCTTGGGGCCCGTTTGAGCCGTCTTTGGCCCATCTTGGGCCCTTCCTGGGGCCCAGTTGGGGCTCGTTTGGGCCGTCTAGGGGTGAGCTAGGGGCCGATGAGCCCGTCGTGGACGCCAGGCGCCCTGAGGAGCGGAAAAGCAAATATACAAGAATCATACAAACACAACTGGAAACTCAATGATGTTTGTCTCTTGGGGGGGGGGGCTCTGAAGGGAGCTAGTCTAGACCCCTCCCTGGTCCCGTCAGGGGGACCGTTGGAGCCGCCTCGTGAGCCGTCTTGGAGATCTTCGAGCCGCTGGTGGGCCGCTCTTGTTTCTGATTCCTCCTCCTCCTCCTCCTCCTGCTCCTCCTCCTCCTCATGATCCTCCTCCTCCTCCTCCTGCTCCTCCTACTCCTCCTTCTCCGTCTCCTCCTCCTCCTCCTCCTTCTCCTCCTCCTTCTCCTCCTTCCCCTGCTCCTCCCGTTCCTCCTCCTGTTCCTCCTCCTTCTCCTCCTCCTCCTCCTCCTCCTCCTCCTCCTCCTCCTCCTCTAACTTGTTGTGAGCGGCCAGGAGGCTCCCGAGGGTGGGAGGGAGCCCTCTAAAAGAGCCTTCTGGAGGATCTCTGGGAGCTTCCCGGAGGCTCCTGGGGAAGTCATGGTGCCTCTCGGGTCACATTGGCGCCTCTCGGGAATGGGACGATTTGGGCCTCTTGCGGCCCACTCGAGGGTCCTCTTGGAGCATTCTTGAAACGTCTGGGAGACTCTGGGCCGTCTTGAAGCCATCCTGACCGGTCTTGGAGCGCTCTTGGGGCGCTCTTGAGTCGTCTTGGAGGCCTCTGGGACCGTCTGGAGGCCATCGTGGGTGCTCTTGGGGCGCTCTTGGGGGTGAGAGAGCTATCCTAAGGGTATGGTAGATATATGCTTTAAAAGGAACGAAGCGATGTCTGCCCCTTTGGGGCGCTCTTGCGGCGCTCTGGGAGCTCTTTTGAAGCGTCTTGGGGGCCTTTGTGCCGTCTTGGGCAGGTCATGGCGGGGTTGGGTGTCTCTTGGCGTCACTTCTCCAGCACGCCCACTGCCATCGTCACCCGCCTCGACGCTGAAATACCCACTCCCGGTGGCCGACAACGGCCCCCCAGGTGCCAAATTCGATCACTGGGGGGTGGGAATTTGGAAAAACTGTGCGGCCATGGGGCCTGGGGCCCCAGACGCCTGATATATTATACATGATATGTGAGGAGCTACGCTCGTCGACGGCGCGCCGCATGTCCATCTATGCTACGCTTCTACTGTAGCGGTGGATGCCGTGGTCGTGGCCCACAGTGAAGACGTGGATCGCGCGCACGACGACTGGAGAGGGGCAAGCATCGGCACTCGCTCCCCAGGGCCATCGATGACTCATTCCTGGTGCACGCTGTGGCCTCTACAAATCCGAAACGAATCCGAGGCGGCGGCCTCCACTTTTTAAGGACGATGACCCCTTCGAAGAGCTGAACAACGAGACTTGCGTCTCCAGAGTTCGTGAACGACTTGCTCTGGAAGGCATCGTGGAAGCCTTGCACTGTGTTGGCTTCCTGCTCGTAAACTTCATTGCGTGAATGCCCGAGTAAGGCACAAGGGCGTTCGTTGGCAACGCTGCCAAATGTGAGTGCCAACCAGCAACATTCCAAGAGACACCAGCCTCTCTGTATGTACAGTGGGTCTCACTGGATATCACAAGTGCTACCATCCATGTGGAGCACAATAACGGGTGTGAAACGCACGCTGCCCGAGAGTTCCATAGCGGACAATGCCTTACGACGTATGGCTTCCTGTGCCCGTGTCTGGGCAGCTGGGTGGGTACCAGGCTCTGGCCAACTGCGTTGGACTTCGAAGCCCTGGAGGCCATCGTCATCATCAAGTAGGCTGTGCTGAGGTTTCCCCATGTGTTTCCATGTGGTCGGTACATGTGGCGTCGCCGTCTGCAGCGCCCTATGCGTCCATCCCTTCGACCAGCATCTGCAGCTTCGTGCCATCTTGGTCGGGGTGCGACTTCGTGACCCATGGATGTACGATGGTAAAGTGCGTATGATTCTAGCCCAGAGCTTTGGAAGCCTCGGCTGCCAACGACGATCTCGGACCCAGGCACGCACTGGCGTCTCGGCATGATTGACCTCGTTGCAGCAAGTTGCCGAATAAAGCGAATGCGCATCCGCACGACCCCTGCCTCGTCCAAATAGATCGGCCAGGACTGTCTTGTACGTGCCCTGCTTCTCGTGGACCGATGTGAATGCGCCCTGTAACAAGCGCCGTGTGTACCTGGGCCCTGCCAAGCCCTGCCAATCCTGATAATATCGCCATCGGTTGTGGCATCGGCGACAACGGCAATCATCCACCTCGTGCAAAGGGCATCGTCGCTCGTGTTTCCGCCGGAGATCAGCATTGCCAACGCAGACCTCGGCGCGGTTGACGCGATCAGCGTGGCGCAGGCTATAGCCATCCAGACGGTAGTCTGCCTGCGCGCCCTGCTGCGGGAGCGCATTGCAGCCAGAGCGCTGTTCGCAAAGCCAACTCCGCCAGCAGCGGCAAGCGTATCGGTAGGTCCGTGGAGACTCATAAGGGGGACCAGCAGCGAAGACTGCTGGGCGAGGTGCAGTACATACGCCGAAGACTACTCCTACGTTCTATGATTGCATGGCGCCACGTCCACATGTGCAGCATGGTGTCCGTGTAACGCCGCATGACTCCGATGCACCGCGCCGCTGTCGCGACATACGGCCAGTCAACGCAGGGGGGGCCTCACACCCCCTCGTTGTCTAAACACGCGTGGGTAGCAGCAGAGCGGGTGACCACATGAGCAACCAGCCACGATGTGAGTGCAAGGGTCACCAGCAGAACGTCAGAGGTGCAAGGCGCGAGCTGCATCTGTAGGTCAGCCGCGGCGCCAAGCTCTGGGTCTCCTTCAGACGCCATGGAGGCCTGGGCACGGTAAGAAAGGAACGAACGAGCAAGCGCCCGTCAAAGTGAAGTGGCCAAGCGCGCTGCCGAGCAGCGCAAGCCAAAAAATGGGTGGCCCGGCTTTCCGCGACGCCAGCAGGACAGCTTCTGACCGCTACTGCGGTGGCCTCTGCTCTTTTCGGCGCGCGGTTGGCGCGTCGGGGCCTCCTCGTAGGGAGTTGGTGCGCAGGCCAAATGCTTGAGCCAAATGGCTGCGGCGACAGTTCGTCTGGATATTCGGCGCGGGATGTACTGCTGGGATCGCGCGAAGCGTCGGGAATCTGGTCGACCCGTTGAAAGGAAAGACTTTGCAAAGCACTGTGAAGAACCACTTCGCATGACCCCCCTCCGCCCGTTCAGCCTTAATCTTGAAAGAGAGGGGGAGAGGGAGAGGGAGAGAGAGAAGGAGGGAGGGAGACAGAGAATGCATCACCGCGCCTTGAGGCGCGAGAAGGAGTGTCCCCAAGTCCCGTGGACTTCCCCGTCCTCAGCCCCCAGGACCGAGCACAAACGGGGCCAGATCCCCAAATCCAGAAGTTTGTAAGGGCGTCTCAGGGCTTGTCGCATGTTTTTTTTTTTCTAAACCAAGATGGCCCCAAAACATGATCTCAGTGCGACCCTACCTAGGAGTTGGAGCATTTAGGAGAGCAGCATCTACATCTACACCGACAGCTACATTTACCTCTACACCTGCATCTACAGCTACATCAACATCAACAGCGAGACTCGCCTCTACATCTACATATACACCTACATATACACCTACATCTACATATACATCTACATATACATCTACATCTACACCTACATCCACATCTGCACATACACCTACATCTAGGCTGCGTCTTGGCGCTATGCTATGATATGCTATGCGATGCTATGTTTTGATGTGACATGATAGGTTATGCTGCGCTGTGTTATGCTAAGCAATGCTATGATATGATATGCTATGATATGCTGCGCTATGCTATGCTGTGCTATGCTATGATACGATATGCTATGGTATGATATGTGATGCTGAGCTATGCCATGCTCTGCTATGCTATGCTTGGCTATGATATGCGCTGCTATGCTGTGCTAATGCTGCGCTGCGCTATGCTGCGCTGCGCTAAGCTAAGGTAAGCTAAGCTCAGCGACGCTAAGCTAAGCTAAGCTAAGCTAAGCAAGCTAAGCTAGGCTAGGCCAAGTTAAGCTAAGCTAAGCTTAGCTTAGCTTAGCTAAGATGAGATAAGCTAAGCTGAGCAAAGCTAAGCTAAGCTAAGCTAAGTTAAGCTAAGCTAAGCTAGGCAAAGCTAAGCTAAGCTAAGCTAAGCTAAGCTAAGATGATATACGCTAGGCTAAGCTAAGCTAAGCTAAGCTACGCTTAGCTAAGCTAAGCTGGGTGAACCCAGGGGGCGCAACTGGGGGAACTGCGGGGAGGATGCCGGGGGAACCGCCCCGGGCGAGGACCACTGCCCGCCCCTTTAAAAGCATACACAGTAAGAACCCTTCTAGGCAGAGCCTAGGTAGGGAATGAAGGTAAGCTAAGCTAAGATAAAACTGAGCTAAGATGAAGCTAAGCAAAGCTAAGATAAAATAAGCTAAGCTAAGATGAGATAAGCAGCGCGAAGCTAAGGGAACGTCACTGGGGGAACCGCGGGGCGGATGCCGGGGGAACCGCCCGGGGCGGGGAACACTGCCCAGCCCTTTAAGCTCACCGAGTAAGAACCCTTCTAGGCAGAGCCTAGGTAGGGAACTAGCTACCCTCAGAAGCCCCGAAGACGGTTCAAGAGTGCTCCGAGTAGCCAAGAGATCGCTCCAAGACGCCCAGAATGGCCTCCAGACGGCCCAAGAGGCTCCCAAGGCGCTCCACGATGGCTCCAAGAGCTCTTCTCAGAAGACTACAAAGATCCAACTCATTGATGTCTCTCTGGTTTCTGCAATATTCGAAACGTTCGCACTTTTTCAAAATTCCGACGCTCCAAGACGACATAAGAGGCATCCGCTATAGTCCCGACACGGCCCAAGAGTCCCAATATGGTCCCAAGACGGCCCAAGAGGCCCCGACGACCCCAAGAGAAACCCAAGAGAAGCACGAAGCGATATTTCGAGCTTTCCGCCCCAAGACGACCTCCGAGACAGCCAACAGGCGCCCAAGAAGCCTCCCTGAGGCTCCTGCATCTATACATCGATACATGTGCAAACACTCGAACAACGCATGAAATCTGCCGACCGTGTCGGCGAGTGTGAGGGGGAGTTTTGGGGTGGCAATCCGCGGGTGTTCTGGGGGGGCGCTTTCATTCGAAACTATTCCCCCTTTCTCTGCGGCCACCCGGGCCCTCCAACTTCGCCTACCCGATCGGAAGCGACCCGTGTAGTAGTCGAGTCGAGGGGGAGCCCTTCCCTCTGATCCCTCTCCCGCCATGCGGGGGGGGTGCTCTGGGAGGTTGGAGCCTCCTGACTACCTACCAGACAACCCCAACCCAACCCGAAGACAAGAGTTTGACCCGAATTTCGGGTTGGGGGGCACGGGTTCCATGTGTTTTGTTCAATGTTCCCCGACCCCCCCCCCACTGGAAAGGGAGGGCAAACTGAAGCCTTCGGGTTGGGGTTGGGATGGTCTGGTGGGTGGTGACCGCCCCCCCATCCTGGGCCGCGCCGGGAGTGCACGCAGAAGCGCTCGTCAAGAGTAGCCGGGGCGGAAGGGGCTCCGGGTGCGCGCACGGGGGCGCTGCCGCGCGCGCGAGGGGTGCCAGTTGCGCGCGCGCGCGGTGGCGCCGGTTGCACGCGGGGGGGGGGGGGGCGCCAGTCACGCGCGCGCCCTCCCCCCACCCCACTCGCACCAGTAGCAGTAGCTTGCCATCCCCAAGTGGCCCCGAGGCGGTATCTCGTGCGGATCAAGGAGGGCCGTCTTCTGTGACCCCCCCCCCACGGGGAGGAAGGAGCGGCAAGGGGGGCACGGAAGGGAGGCACGAAGAGGGCAGAGGAGGAGACCGAGGAGGAAGAGGCGACAGGTGGTCTGGCTCAAGATGGGTCTGGGGGCCGGCCTCCCCGTCGTGCTGCGGCCACCGCCATCCCATTCGTCCCTGATGGCCTCTGCTCAGGGTCCGCGAGACCGGCCGTAAGGTATCTGCAAAACAGACGCGTGCATTTGCATGTGCAAAGGGGCAGGCGCAGGACAAAGTCTGCAACAGCAGGGACAGAGATAGAGAGAGAGAGAGAAAGAGATGAAGTCGGAGCGACAAACATACAGAAGGAGATGACGACACAAACATCACAAAAAGGAAAACACGACGAAGACAAAGACATGTGCATATCTTGGCACAGAAAGGACCACAGAGACGGATGCAAGACAGAACGACAAGCACACATGGGCACAAGCAAGGAATAAGATATGAACGTATGCAAGGGCAGGAAGCGAGCGACACTGAGGACGAGTCAGAGACAGAGGCAGGATGAATGCGAACGGTACTGACAGAGACAGAAGACGTGGTAGTCAAAAATACTGTAGCGGTTGATGCATGCAGTGTTAGTCACCGTATAGATCTAGCTCCAACGGTATGACATTGTCCGGCCAATAAGGCGCCCACACCTTGGAAGACCAGAGGAAATGCACACAAATGTCATCTCATTCAGACTACATCGTAACAGGTATCATTGTTCAAATGCACTCTTCGGCTCCCTTCAGCTGATGACTACTGCTGAGAGGCACTGGCTGGCCCTTGCCAGGAGTGACCAGTTCAACCACTTAATCCCATAACCTATGGACTGCAAATGCCATGATCCATCATTGCTGGTATCAATGACACCTATGGTGGTGCCCATGAAGGCGAGATCTGATAGGATAAACGGCGAGAGGCTGCGTGAGAGGCGTAGGACAGATGTGGAGTGAGAACGCGCCAGACAGAAGAGGCTCTAGTCTACTTCAACCACATCACGCCCACAAGCTTCGCAATTCGTAAAAAAAGGCCAGGCTATAGCGCAAATTTCCCATCCTGGGCAGGGCCCGATTGGTTCACGGACAAAGTGTAAACCTGCTTGAACAGCACGGACATGACCAGCGCACCCAAGCCCCAGCCAGAGCCAAGTTCTATGGCCACCTGGGGGGGGGGGGCGTGCCTTGCAATACTGTAGGATGCACAGACACTGGCTAGCTATGTAGCCACATGTCCACATGTCCCACTAGCTTGCTCATGCCCTACACCGCACATCGACGAGTCGACACATAAACATTGAGAGACATGTGGAGGCAGAAAGGGTAGAAGGAATGATCAGGGAAGTTCTGGTGGCAGGAAAGGAACCAGTGTTTGTACCGAGACAAAGAGACGAAGGGAATCAACACAGGAAGAAAGATGTGTCACAAGCGGTGGCAACGACAATACTGCATTCATGGGCAACAGGCAGAAAAGTCAGCATAATTGCGGTACACCCCTGTGCGCCAAACGTGCTCGTTTAGCGCGGACGTAGAGCGAGCGACGACTATTGCGCAGACCTTTTAAGATGGAACAGCTCGACTCACGTCAAACTGCTGCTGCAATTAACCTACGTACGTTTCAATCTGCCCCACGGAAGTGGCGCACCCGCAAATTGAAACACAGCGCTGCGACTTCCAACTTCAAATGATGAACCACTGTCAACCTGATTGACTGTAGGACGGTGAACTCAGGAATTCAACACATGGGCGGCACGTGCAATGAGAGAGATCTGCACGCGGAGGGCCATTGAGCGTCCAATCCTGCCGTAATACCAAATGAGGCTATCGATCATTGAAGCCTGACGGGGATAATAAACACAAGGATAATGATTAAGAAACATAAATGAAACTTGCCAGCCAGAGAGACTTAGCAACACCAGTAGGACATTCACTCATCCTCGCTCTTCTCCTTTTCATCCCTGCGGCCGTCCCTGTTCATGCTCCTCATCCACTCACCTACATGCCCTTCCTCCCCTCCCCAGTGGAATGCAAGAGTGATATGTAATGTAAGTCAACCCTGACGAGTGCCAAAAAGCTATGTACCGATGAGGTTGTCGTGGCCACCTCACCAACCAGCCGAGACGAGGAGGACTGTGCCTTCAGGATGCTGGCCCTCTTGGGCCGGATGGGACGCAGAGAATCGATTCGCGGTCGGAGCGCAAGGGATTCCGCTCACGCGAGCCCGTCTCCAAGCCTCTCTTCAGAGGCCAGAAGGCGTCGCTGCGCTTTTCTTCTCCTTCTGCTTCTCGCTCGGTCTGGCTGGAGGTCTCGGAGGGGGGGCGGGGGGGGCAAGTGGGGCCTGGCCAGGCTGGGGGTCCCAGACCGGTGCGGTGGCAAACCTTGCGGTGAACTCGCAATCCCGCAAGACCTCACCGCACGGCCTGGCAACAGCTCCTCTTCTTCTAAATCACAACAATCCCTATCACAGTCACCAGCACCACTGGTCCTCCTCCTCCTCCTCCACCACCTCCTCCTCCTCCTCCTCCTCCTCCCCCTCCTTCTCCCCCTCCCCCCCTCGTCCTCCTCGTCCGCCTCCTCCTCCTCCTCCACCACCACCAGCCTCATGCCGCTCCCCATCCGTCCCTGCTTCGCTTTGGCACTGTGCGCAGGCGCCTCGATTCCCCACCGCATCTGCTCGGAGCAGTGCTCTGGACCCCGGCGTGGATCTTCACTCCACAAGCGCTCGTCCCAGATGCAGGGTGGCATCTGGGCCCTGGCCGCATCGTAGAGCGCCTGCCGATCGCAAAAGAATGGAGGGGGCAGTGCAACCGGGGCAGTGCAACCGGGCACGCAAGCAAGCAATTCATGTCCCAGCCCGCGCCCCATCCTCGACAATCATCGACCCTCGCCGATCCTTGATCCTCGTTGATCCTCGAACCTCCTCCTTCTCGACATCCTCGTTGATCTTCGACAGCCCTCGACGATCCTCCTCCCCCTCGTTCCTAATGATGCCCCTCACGGGGCAGGACCTGCGAAGAAGCCTCAGATCTAGCACTTGCGGCAGCCCATCTGGTGAAACCGTCCTGGCGCTGAATGCTGAGCCTCTCCTCTCCTGCTACCATCGCTCGCTGCGCACCGAAAGCGTGCCCAACGCAGAGGCGCCCGGATGGGACGTGATGGGAGAAGGTCGAGGAAGAGAATGAGCCAGGAAGAGCTGACTTGGAGGCGGTGCTGGGCCTCGGAGTGCACCCACCCGCCTGCGATCACAAATTCCAAAAGGCACTTCGCAGGCGGTCCGCGGGAGGGTGGTGCACCCGAAAACCGCCGGGTCCCTCCTGAGGCCAAAGTGCCTTCTTTCAGCGACTTGGCTGCATTGGTCATCATCATCATCATCATCATCATCATCATCATCATCATCATCATCATCATCATCGTCATCATCATCATCAATCATCATCACCACCACCACCGTCATCATCATCATCACCACCACCACCACCACCATCATCATCATCATCATCATCATCATCATCATCATCATCCTCATCCTCATCCTCATCCTCATCCTCATCCTCATCCTCATCCTCATCCTCATCATCATCATCATCATCATCATCATCATCATCATCATCATCATCATCATCATCATCATCATCATCATCCCCCTCCCCCTCCCCATCCTCCAGCCCTCCTCCTCCATCTCCCCCTCCGCCCACGAAACGAACACACGTTGCAATCCCGCCATGGAGACGCTGGAATACGACGACGACGACGACGACGAGTGTCGAATCCCACACCTGCCCAGGGGTGCGTGTTGACCATGATATCGGGGCACCTCCGCCCGCCGCGACGAGAAGACTCTCAGGGCTCCCCCTAACAATTGAAAATGCCCAGGCGCCTCGATCCTAGATCCTCGATCTGCGACGACAGCGACGACCACCACAACCACCACCAACTTGAGAAAATTTGATCTAACAAGCTGCTTGAAACTTCATGTGTTTCTCCCTCTCCCTTGTACCTGATCACTAAGTCCATGAACAAACCCCTTTTTTATGGTTCGTTGTTCATACCACCAGCTTCTGCGAGAAGCATTCAGCAGTGCACTCCGTCTGCGCACCGCGCCGATATGGCCGTCATGCGAGCTAACGCGCCCGCGGGCGACTCACCGACTTGAGTGACAAGCGAGGACGTCTGGGTCGAGAGCGCCGTTCCTCAGTTGTGCGGCCTCTGGGGCGTCTCAGAATGAAGTCTCATAATACATTGTGAGGGGGATATCGAGCGGAAGCCATTGTCGTCTCAGCTGGGCGTTCGCAACATTCTGATGAATTGCGAGGGCGTCTCGTGCGAGAGCGCCACTCCTGAGTGCGAGAATACATACGACCAGGGCGTCTCGGAGCAAATTGCGAGAATGTATCAAGCGGGGGCCGTTGTCGTCGTAGTTGGGCCTCCGACAACTTCGCTGAATTGCAGGTCTCGAGCGAGTGGGCCGTTCCTGAGTTTTGGGCCCTCTCTGGCCGGGCGTCGCGGAGTGAAATTTGAAGCGCCTGTCGGACGGGAACCGTAGGTGGGCCTCCAACAACTTAAAGTATACAGACATGGCGAGCGGGAGCCGTTGTCGTCGTATTTGAGCCTCCGCAACTTGGCTCAGTTGCGAGGACGTCTCCGGCGAGAGCGCCGTTCCTGAGTTTGGGGCCCTCTCTGGCCAGGGCGTCTCGGGGGAAATCACTAGCAAATATCGGGCGGGAGCCGTGTTGGGCATCAAACTTGGCTGAATTACCCGGAAGTCTCCAGCAAGAGGGTCGTTGCTGAGTCTGGGGCCCTCTGTGGCCAGGGCGTCCCTGAAAACGTTGTGAGCATGTAATGAGCGGGAGCCGTTGTCGTCGTAGTTGGGACTCCAACAACTCGGCTGGATTGCGAGGATGTCTCCAGCGAGAGCGCCGTTCCTGAGTTGGGGGCCTTTCTGGCCACGGCGACTCGGAGCAAATTGCGAGAATGTATCAAGCGTGGGCCGTTGTCGTCGTAGTTGAGCCTCCGACAACTTGGCCGGATTGTGAGAACGTCTCGAGCGAGAGCGCCGTTCCTGAGTTTGGGGCCCTCTCTGGCCAGGGCGTCTCGGAGCCAACTGTGAAAAGGTATCGAACGGGAGCGGTTGTCGTCGTAGTTGGGAGGCCCCCAACAACGCACATTGGTTCCCAAGCCCGAGCTCGAGCGGTAGCCTCGGTTTGAAAGAGAACGCAGCTGCCGTCGAAACGACAGCGCTCGGAGCCGATTCCAGAGATCAGCCGGAATAGCTCTCTAGAAGTGGGTCATCGACGACGACAACGACGACGACGGCAACGGCGACCACGACCACGACCACGACCACAACGACGACAACGACGACAACGACGAGGACGACAACGACGACGACGACAACGACGACGACGGCGACAACGACGACGAATACGACGACCATGACCACGACCACGACCACGACGACAACGACGACAACGACGAGGACGACAACGACGACGACGACGACAACGACGACGACAACGACGACAACGACGACGACAACGACGACCACGACCACGACCACGGCGACAACGACGACGACGACGAACGCCACCGTCATCAAAGCGACAACGGCGCCTGGGTCATGAGCGGGTCGGCGCCCCGCAGCGGCGGCACGGGGAGCCGCCCCTCCGCCAGGCCCTGCTCGCGAGCAGCGGTGGGCTCCAGGGCACACGACGACGAGGACGACGACGGCGACGACGGCGACGGCGACGGCGACGGCGGCGGCGACGACGACGAGGACGGGGACGAAAAACGGACGACGACGACGCGCTCGGCTTCGGAGACTCTGGGCGTGCTCCCTGGAAAGTCTCGACGCCACCCGTGGACGCGACTCTGGGAAGCGGCTGTGGTAGACCCGGGCCGGGGCCCATGGGAATGGCTTGAGCGGTTTGCCTAGACGGCGACGAAAATGAAAACGACGGTAACGAGGACGGGGACGAGGACGACGACGACGGCGGTGACGCCAAGTGAATGGGAAGGGAATGAGGGAAAAAAACAACAACGACGAAGGCGAAGATGACGAGGGGGGCGAGAACGGGAAGGTGGGGAAGCAGGAGGAGAGGTATGAATGGGGGGGCAAAGAGGAGGCGGAGGAGGACGACGACGACGAGGAGTGGTGAGAGGATGGGGCGGTTGAATTGATGGTTAGGCGGCAACCTCGGGAGTAATGAGCTTGTTTGTGTTCACGCAAGGCACGACCGCCCAACATCAAAATCAATCCGCTCGCGAACCCAGACAGCAGCAGGCACGCACACACATGAGTACACGCACAACATATGCTTCGACTCTGGAATCTTCTCCTCAACGCAACCTGCAAGTCGCCAGTCGTCCACAATTCTGGATAGGCGCGGTTCCGCGCATGTCCAACTATCCACGTTATCGAACAAACATTACTCCCCAAAATTTATTGAAGCAAATCCTCGACACGATACTCTCGGGATCCTTCTTGTCAACATGCCACGGCCAACATCCCGTCCTCTCAGCCGGTCGATGAGGCCTCGCGTGAATACGTTATGCAACAGGCATCGCCCACTGTCGAGCACCAAACGCGCGCGCCCACGACCGCCTCACGGAAAATCACACCTCCCGTGAGAGCATCACACAGCATGGCTCGAGCATCACATCGGAGTCGTAAAATAAAATTGATCCACGTTCGAGCCTGTCTCTCATCGCACTACCGCGTGCAACTGGCTTCGGTCATTTGGCATGGCGACTTGCTCAGCTGTAACTGATGAGAGCACTCCGTGCGCGTCACCCGCTACACACAGACCGACATGAATCAAAATTGAGTTCGCCGAGTCACGCAGTTCCTTGGTAACTATAGCTCAAGTGAGCACCTGATGCCAAAACCCCCGATGAAGCTTGCCAAATTCTCCTTCATCTGGTCGGTCACCATTGCTCCGAACATGCTCGTCGTGACTCTGGGCTGCTTCCGGCTGCCGTACTCCAGTGCGTGCGTAGCACCACCAATGATGCGATCGCGCGGACCTTCTAACGCCGGTAAAGATCACCTTCTGGTTGCGTCTCTGGACCCAGCCAACGCGCCAGCAATATCCGCGCGAGTCAACCTCGGCCAAGCCACGCCATCCAACCGACCCCAATCCAAGCCTTGCAGCGCACAGTCAGCCCGGTCGTCACCACGCCTGCCCGTGTACAGCGCAGCAGTGATCGGGTGAAATGGAGCGGCGCAGTGCTTCTGGTCAATCGTGATTGCGTCAGCTCCGCCCTGCGCGCGCCGGATGCCGACGCGTTCGCGCGGCGGCAACTTGACAGTAACATCTCCCCAGATCTCGCGATTATGTTTGAAGTTCCACTCACGAGTCGAATCATTGCAAGGTCCCATGAGGTCGTCAACATGAGTGTCCAATGCCGCCGCCATCACATTCGACTCGAAAAAAATCCTGTCCGCTTCAGTCGGGAAGAAACCAAACTCGCGAAACGCATCCGAAGGAACCACTTGCCAAGCCCACGGCGCGTCATTCGCGCCGACGCTGGGCTTCTTCGGGCTCAGAATCTCCATCACGTCGTTGAAGTCTTCGAAACCTGATGCAAGCTTGAGTAGCGCGGCCCCGACAGGCGGAGCATCAAATTGCAAGCTTCGCGCATGTTGGGTGCAAATCATTCGGCCAGCTCCACGAGCGTCTTGCCGCGCAGGAAAGACATGAATACATCCAGCGATCACATGTCCAATAATACCGCGCAGCAATGGAAAATCTCACACGCTGGCCCAAACGAGATGCCGTTCCTGCAGCAGTTGCCATGCGATGTTTTTAGTTTCTAGCGATGCTTGAAGCCCATGGCGGTTAATCGCCTTTGCGAGTCTCGCTGGCCCTCGATGATCTTTCACTTGGTAACCCACCTGGAATCGATGTGATTGTCTACTGTTGTCTGCACTCTCTCCACAACATCTCTAGTCTCCCAGCGCTTAGCTCCTTCAGCTTCGCGGCCGACGCGAGCTCGCGGCGAGCGCGCCTCTCAAAAACTGACAAATCACGCTCGATCACAGGTGACAAGCCGGCATGATGCAGGTGCACAACCATCGCCTCCTCTGTGGCAGATTTCCTCGCGGCAGTACCGAGGCGCCAAGCTAACTCAAAACAAATGGACCCCTCCGTCACCGCAGCTGGCAGTTCGACCGCTGGAGCCTGTCCGCCAAAGAACACGCGCGCGGCAGCGAAGCCACAGAACGCTCCATGAAAATAGACTGCCAGAAGAATTCCTCATGCCCGATGTCATCATCGATGGGCCATCATCACGCGCTGCATCTGGCTCCGTAGCTCGATCACCGGGGCCAGGTTCAGCAGGCGCACGGAATGCGACATGAGGTCGTGGATTTCCACTCGCGCTCGATCCATCTGAGCGCTGACGCTTGAGCTCGCGCGGCTTGGTAATGACGCGTCGACCGTCAGTGCGTCGCGCCTTTGTAAGAGGATCGTCGCCATCGCCGCCTCGCGGTCTGACATCTCCAGGCAGTCGAGCGCCAGGAAGTATATTACTCTCGTCGGCGTCGCAGTGCTCGCACGCGCGCCCAAGATGTGGACCGTCTGGTATTGCTACTCTGGCTATCTCAACATCCCCCATGGACTGCGAAGCGCCGCAGGATAACCGCGTCGTTCCAACATCCCCCGAACAGCCTTGCAAGCGAGAGACGAACAGCGCCAAGGGCCCATCGTCAACTCCAACCCATCGGATGTCCTGACTTCGAAAGTCTCGACGGCATCTCGCCAACGCCAGGCACTTCTTCCAAAGCCTGAGGGCCGGCGGAGCGGTGGACTGCAGCGAAGCGTCTCGGCAGTCCGACAGGCCGGCGCAGAAACCATGGGGGGGGGAGCGCATCCGCCCCCCGGTAGCGCTGGCAGCGCTCTAGGGCGGCAAGAACGACACGGCAGAGCGTCTCGGCAGGCGAGCGGGGCAAGCCACCCCACGCCCAGTTCTTACGTGCTCCGCACGTGCGCCCCGCGAAGCGGAGAGGAATCCAGGTCCGGACTGCAGCGAAGCGTCTCGGCAGTGCGACACGGCCGGCGTGTGACGCCAGGACCAAGTCAGGATGCGTCCAATAGGCCAAATCGCGACCCGTTGTCACATTATCCCTTGCAAAGCAACCCCCCTTCATCCGCCCCCCCCCGGCCGCCGCCCAGGTGCCGACCCGTTTCCACGCATCCTACAATCTCACGCAAAAAACATAACACTAGGAACATCTCGGATTTGGACTTCTTGGGCTTCCTGAGGTCCAAAAGGGCCTCAGGACGGCCCGAGATGGCCTCAGCAGGACGACTCAAGACGGCCCCAAGGCGGCCCCGAGATTGCCTCAAGAGGGCCCAAGAAGCCCCCAAGATGGCCCCAGAGGGCCCCAAGAGGACCCCCAAGAGCGCCTCCAAATGTCCAAAACATTGTGTGTTTGTGTTCCGTAGGTTGTTGAAGGATTTTAGCGTTTGTGTATTGTTGGACTCTCGGGGGACCATGATGGCCCAAGCAGCCTGCAAGAGGGCCCCAAGACGGCTCAAGAGCACCCCAAGATGGCCCAAAGAGGCCCACAAGACAGCCCAGACCCTCAAGATGGCCCAGGACGATCCGAAGCCCTCCGAAGGGACCAGACGGCGCGAAAGCGCCCCAAGACGGCCCAAGACGCCCCAAAGTTGCCTCAAAGAGGCCCCAAAGAGGCCCCCACAAGAAGCCTCCAAGAGGCCCCCAAGAGGCTCCCAAGAGTCCCCGCAACGACTGGACTGTACGAGGTCTTGACGTGCACCCCGCGAAGCGAGAGAGGAATCACTTGCTTGGGCATCTGAAGCCCCTCTTGGGGGTTCTGTCCTTTCGGGGCGTCCTGGGGGGGTCTTGGGTCGTCTTGATGCCATCCTGGGCCGTCTGCGGGCGCTCTTGGGACATCATGTGGGGCCCTGGAGCGGAGGGAGGAGTATAAGAAACAGGGAGGAGCGGGAGAAGGAAGAAGGATGCAGAAGGCAAGACAGGAAGTAGGGAGCAGGAGGCCAGAGAGGGACGGGGCAAACAGGAGGAGGGAAGAAGGCTGCTGCAGACGGAGAGAGAGTAGGGAAGAAGGATGGCGAAGGGAGGGCGAGGAGACAAGAAACACGTGAAGGAGAAAAGAGGGGGATGATGAGAAAGGAGCCCTCACGCGGGAGGCGGGCCGAGAACAAAAAAGTTGCACAGCTCTGCAAGACACGCAGAAGCCTCCGCAAGGATTTCGGGAGTCTCCTGCCAGGCCCCTCGGAAGCATGGGGGAGGATATTCTTGGCCCTCTGGGGGCCTCTCAGAAGTTTCGTTCGTGGGGTCTCTTGGAGGAGTCTTGGAGGCCTCGCTGGAGCTCTTTTGGGGCGGCTTGGGCCACCAAGGGCTCCCAACTTCGCGCTTCGCGCTGCGCGAAGCGCGAATAACTTCGCGCTCTCGCGCCGCCTCCCAGGGGAGAATAGGAGGATGAGGAGGAATCGGAGCCGAACCGCGAAGCGTGAAGCGCGAATCATTTCGCGCCCTCGAGGGCGCCCTTGGGCCCCCTTGGGTTTCTCTGGGCCCTCTTGGGCCGTCTCGGGGTTTTCTGGGGGAGTCTCGGGGCCTCCGGGGAGTCTCTTGGCTCGTGCCGGAGAGGGGTCCTCTGGGGGGGAGTCCCGGGGCGCTGTTTGGGCGCTTAGGGGGGCTCTCCTGGGCTTCTCGGGGCCCTCTTCGGGGCATCCTGGGCTGCCTCGGGACTCGTTGGGGGTGGCGTGGACCGTCTGAGAGGGCCTCTGGGGGCGTCTTGGGCCCCTCTCTGGGCGTTCGTGGGCCGTCTTGGGCGCCCCTTGGGCCGTCTTGGGGCCCTCTTGGGCCGTCTCGGAGTTCTCTTGGGGACCTCTTGGATCCTCGGTGTTGGGGGCCGTCTTGGGCTGTCTTCGACGCTGTAAGAAAACGAACACGAATATCCTAGAAATCTGTGTTCCTCTTGGGGTTTGGGACGATGTTTGCCTCTTGGGACCCTTTTGGGGGGTCTCTCGGAACCGACTTGGTGACACTTGTGGGCATTTGAAATTTGAAGCCGTTTTGAAGCCACGTGGGGGCTGCCTGGAGCCGTCTGGAAGCCATCCAGGGCCGTCCGGAAGCCTTATTCGCCCGTCCTGGATCCCGATTGAAGCGGAGGGGCCGCGCGGAAAAGTGGGGAGGAGCAGAGTCGGCTGCGGCGGTGCGCGCCGTGCAGAAGCAAGCTGTCGGGGCGCAGGGGCAGCGCTGCTGGCTGCCTGGGGGGAGGAGGAACGGGGCTGGCCGGGGCAACTGGGGGCGGGGCTGGCTGCGGCGGTGCGTGCCGCGCGGACAGTTGCTGGGGCGGCGGTACAGCGGAGGCCAGTCCACAAGAAACCTTCCACAAGAAACCCGACCCTCAGACCCCAGAGCACCCCTTGATTTTTGGCGTGGGGGCGTCACGCCTTCCATCGCAAAACCATCGAGACCTAAGAGACCCAGGGCCCCCTGGAGGCAAGCAGGGTGCTTCTTGGCATGGACGCCCCCACCGTACGTGCCGTATGGAGTAAGGTGGCCGGGGCGGAGGGGCGCGCTGCTTGCCGCCTCGGGGAGTGAGGGCGGGCCCTGCCGGGGGCAGGAGGGGCGGCGCTGGCGGCGGCGGCGCGTGCCGCGCGGAACAGAGTCGCCAGAGCGGAGGGACCGCGCTGCTGATTGCCTGGGGGAGGAGGAACGGGGTTGGCTGTGTGAAGGCCTTGGTAAGCAAGTGGACCATTCGCGGGCATGACCCGACCCCCGCAAGGGCGGCCCGATCCCCGCGAGCCGCCCGCGGGCAAGGGCGGGTGGCCCGCGCGCGGCTGGGGGGAGCGGGGCTGGATGCGGTGGGGTGAGTGACCGCGGCGCGGTGTGCGCCGCGCGGGATGAAGTCGTCGAAGCTCTCAGACACAGGCTGCATACGAATGATGCATCAGTGTCCATGGGCATCTACGAGGGGCGGGGGGAGGAAAGGAAACAACTGTGCCCCTCCCTGGAAATCCAGCGGATCGAAGAACGTTGTTGTGTACATTGGGGCTTGTTGCAGGCCCAGGGGCCGTCAGGGGCCGTCAACCAATCATCTGGAATGGACAAACCCGTCGAGAGATCCAGTGGCACGTCTCGAGAAAATCTAGCCGCGGGATGCCAGGGTCCAGCGACGCTTGGCACATACGTTGTTTAGATGCGACAGCGAGGTGGGCTCGCCTGCGCGGGAATGGATGTAGGGCCGTCCTGGGTTGAACTGATCGCCGTGCTAAAGGGTAGCAGCGTCGCGCATTGCCTGAGAGCACATGCCCCGTCGAATCCCTCGCTTTCCCGTTTACACCACCCTTCGGGTAATAAGGAGCTTGGGGCGATGGATGCAGCTTTCGGTCTGCGATATATGTATCGAGCGATATAGACACTTATCTGTCGATATCAGTAGCTACTGGTCCCACTACCAAGATATGTATCGATCTTCTGTATGCCGAAGACAATATGAATATCTGTATCGTTCCAACTATGTCGATCGTTCGAACTGCCAACCTACCAATTACACGATTAATCAACGAATCGATCCCACGTCCCACGGTTCATGTATCAACCGCACTAGCAATATATGAGAGAGCGTGATCCACCGCCGCTTTACTGTGGAAAATTGCCGCCCTTTTCCTCCGAAACCCGGGGGTCCCCCCCCCCCTCCGAAAATCCCCTCTCCCTGCTGGACCCCCCCCCACCCCCTCCCCCGGCAAGCAAAACCCCCCCCCCCCCCCCCCCCCCCTCCCCCTCGAAAACCGAGGGGGGTCACTACCGGTTCGAACCCCCCCCCCTCTCGAAAACCGCAGAGGGGGGGTCACTACCGGTTCGAACCCCTCCCCACCCCCCCTCTCACAGCCAGCAAACGACTCCCGGTCCCTACCACCGTCCTCACCACATCCCCCACTGTTGTTCCCAGCACCACTGTCCTCACCACCACTGTCCCCACTGGTTCCACCACCGCCCCTACTGTCCCACCAGTGCCACCACCACTGTCGCACTGGCCCCACTGTCCCCACCACTGTTCCCACCACGGCTCCACTCTCCCAACTTTCTCCACGACTATTCCCACTGTCCCCACTGTCCCACTGACTCCTCCGCTGTCCCACTCGGCTGTCCCACTGTTCCCACCACTGTCCCCACTGTCCCCACCACTGTCTCCACCACTGTCCCCACTGTACCTCTGTCCCATTGTCCCACCGCCGTCCTCGCCACCGCCTTCACCACTGTCCCCACCACCACTGTACCCTCCACTGTCCTACTGTTTCCACCACATTCCCACTGTCCCCACACCACTGTCCCCACCACCACTGTCCCCACCACTGTCCCACGGTCCCCACTGTTCCCACCATTGTCCTCGCCATTGTCCCCACCACTACCGTCCCCACCACTATCCCACTGTCCCCACCACTGTCCTGCTGTTCCCTCACCACTGTCGCCACCACCACCGTCCCCACCACTGTCCGCACCCCCCCTCGGTTTTCGACGGGGGGGGGGGTTCGAACCGGTAGTGATCCCCCCCCCGTTTTCGAGTTCGAGGGGGGGTGGGGGGTTCGAACCGGTAGTGACCCCCCCCCTTTTCATGATGAACTGGGGGGGGGGATTGGAGGGGTTCGAACCGGTAGTGACCCCCCCCGGTTTTCCGGAGGGAGGGGGGGGAGGGGTTCGAACCGGTAGTGACCCCCCCCGGTTTTCCGCCAGCAGCGGTAGAACACGCTCTTTCCAATATATCATGTATATGTCTGCATCACTACCTATCGGTCTCACTATATCTCGATCAATCTCACTATCCACAGATCTACCAATCTCACTTACGTTCAAGACAACCAGCGAGACAACCAACGGGCCGACCACCTGGACGACAATCAGCACAACTGTCGGGACAACCATCGGGACAGCCATTGGGACAACAATGGGGACAGCCATCAAAAAATCAAAAAAGCCATCGGAACCACCGTCGGAGGACTCATCGGGACAACCACCGGGACAAGCAACGGGACAACCATCGGGACAACCATTGGGACAACAATGGGGACAGCCATCAAAAAAGCCATCGGAACAACCGTCGGAAGACCCATCGGGACAACCACCGGGACAACCAGCGGGACAGCCATCAGGACAACCAATCGGGACAATCCACAAGGACAACTTCCGCGCCATGGCCGGCTGGCGGGGCGACTCGTTTTTGCTCGTCTTGGCCCCAGCCAGTGGACGAGCTCGCGCAGCTTCGCCTCGCCCGCACGCGCGCCACGCACGAAACGAGACGATGTCCGAGTTGGGGAGGAGGCCCTGGGACACACAAATAACTTGACACAAATAACAGGACTCCCCATATTTCCCTATATCTTCTGGGTTTTTGTCTTCCCTCCCACTTCTTATATTTTCCTGGGGATCGGCGATTCATTGTGTCTGTGTGCGTTGTTGTCCCTCCTCCGATGTGGCCACACGCTGCGCGAGCGAATACAAGAAGTGTGGGCCACGACGATATATAGAGGCACCAGTGCCAACATGCGTCAGGTTCGCGTCGTGCCGACTTCGGCATTGGCTTCTGACACCGCGGGGGTCGTTCAACCTTGAACGATCGGCCGTTTCCAAAACGTCCAAATCGTTCTACATCGAACGATTATGGGTCGCCCGCGGCGTCCAGAGTGGAACGCCGCTGGCGGGGTCGCTGACGGTCGACAAGACACGAACCTACCGTACTGGGAGCGAGGAGGCCGATGCCAGACTCGCGAGCGGAACTCGTGCGAAGTGGCAGCACCATGGCCCGATAAAAAAAGAGACGGTCCTGCTCGGACAGCACCCCCGCCGCCAGCAGCCGCCATCGCGGCAACCGCCGCATCTCCCAGGAGCCGCCTGGCGCGCGGCAAGCCACGCTGGTGCCTCGAAAAGTACGTCCTGGACAGGGATCGACCTCAACAGTGTATTTTTTGTTTTCGTTGTGTCTTCATTTTCCCTCGTTTTGTCGTCAATCTACCGATGCTGCAACACGAAATCGAAACGAAAACCCCACGAATTCGCCAAAACCCCGCTTAGGTCGACCCCTTGTCCTGGAGCTCCAGCTCAGACCCCCGACGTCATGGTTTTTTTTCATTACGTCGACCCCACGAAAGATCTCGACCCCTTCCTCTGGACCCGTTTTTCCTCCCGGGTCGTTTTTGTTGACTGTCCCGAGGCCCGGCAAAGGCCCCAAAAAGCTGAAAATTTAGAAAAACCTTCCGTCTTGATGTTTTCATGACTCGAAGGGGTCTGGGAACGTGGGCCCCGCAGACCTCTCGACCCCTTCTGCGGGGCCGGCTGTGCATCCCGAGCCGTCTCTTGGGCAGCGCCTGAGATCCCCAGGAGCAGCCCCCTGTGGAGACCGAGGACGGCGAGCAGAAAGTGCCGCCCCGATTTTCGTCCGAGTCGCCAGGTTGTCTGCCGCGGGGGCGCCGAGGCCAGCGGCCCACGCATCTGGCGGGAACGGCTCGGGAGGTTCTGGGGCCCACCCCGCCTTGAACAGAGGAAGGAACAACTGCATGAACACCAAGTGTTAGCCAGCGTGGACCCCAAGCAGAAGGTTATGGCTCTGTGGAGGTGAAAACTGTGCGAAGCACGCTGTGATGATAGCTACGACCGGAAATACGATCAAGAAACTTAGCCCTTAAGAAACTGAAGCCAGCGTCCAGGAAGTGTCTGAAAACAAACCCTGGCCAACGTCTGTGTACCGCTTGAGGGCGAACGTGCTCAAGAGACTGAGTCAGCTTTCCCGCAGGTTGGTTGAGAAACGCTGGCGCGGCTCTTCGGGAGGAAGCTCCTCCACCAGATGTTCGACCGTGTGCCGTGTGAGCAGTGCTGTGTGTGACCCGTGTGGCGTGGGGTGTGGGCTGTGCGACGTGTACGGTGTAAGCCAGGGCTGGACCTAAACGCTGTCTTGCTGGACCTTGGCTGTGTCTTGTTTTTCGTCTCTGGGAGGGAGGTCCAGGAAGACAGGCAGACCAAAACGAACGAAAAACACACAACGAGAACAGAACGAAGAACAGCGTTGAGGTCCAGCCCTGGCTTGTGGGGGCGTGCGCCGTGAAGGCCTCGCCAGGCCTCCGCCGAAGGGCCCTCCGAAGGGCCCGCCGAAGGGCCCGCCGAAGGGCCCTCCGACAAGGCCCTCCGAAGGCCCTCCGAAGGGCCCTCCGAAGGGCTGCGGCGTGAGCTGTGCTGTGTGTGCTGCGTCGCCCGCCCGGGGCACGGGGCGCCCACGAGCGCCCCAGCGGGCTGGCCCGGGCGCCACCGGCGGAAGCCCTAAGCGGAACCCACCGGGGTCACGGGGCGCCCACGAGCGTCCAAGAATAGGGGGAAAACAAACCTACCTCGCTTTTGACCACCCTCGCTTCCAAGAGATACCAAACGATGCCAAATTGCAGCCTGTACTGGTCAGGCCGCTTGACGAGGAGGCGCGTGGTATGGCTTGGTTTTGCCTGGAAGCGAAAGCGGGGTAGGTAATTCACGCTCTGAAAGAAGGCGGCACCGGGCGCCAGCCCGGAGAGGCCTCGGCGGGCCCGTCCAGCTGCTGGCAGGCGCGCGCAGAAGCCCGAGGCAAGCGCAGACAGGCTGTTTCGACGGGACCTTTCCCGAGCTCCGCGCGGAGCTCCAGGATCGGCGACGGAGCTCCCTGGCGGTGCCTCCTGCGCCGCCCCTGCCGCGCCCCGCGCCAGGGAGGGGGTGTCTCAGCGCCGATCCAAGAACTCCGCGCGAAGCTCCGAAAGTTTGTCTACATACGGTCCGGAACTTTTGAGTAGCGCAGCGTGGTGGCGGCCCTAGAGACACGCTATTCCTTGCGAGCGGCTAGCGTGTCGCTCCGCTCCGCGGGGCGGGAGGCTGGGAAATGCTTGGGACGAGGCCGCCTGGAGACTGGGAAATGCATAGCGCGTCGCGCAGAAGCGTGGTGGGCCAAAACCAACGGCGCAACACGCTAATAGAGGAAGCAAAGACGCTATAAACACAAACGGTTGGCGCCCCGCGCGGATTTCTTGGATCCGCGCTCTGCCGCCCTCCCTGGCGCGCGGAGCGCGCCAGGTGCGGCGCCGGAGGCGCCGCCAGGGGGGCAGAGCGCGGATCCAAGAAATCCGCGCGGAGCGCCATATGTTTTTCCCCAATCAGTGCTTGCACTGAAGGGGTCCTCGCGGATGTTGCTAGAATTGGCGAAAGTGCCTTGCCGATTTTGGTGGCACGCTGGGTTCCAGGGTTCCCGGTTCCGGGTTCCCGGGTTCCCGGGTTCCTGGTCATTGGCTCCGGGCCGATGGTTCACTACCAATCTCACTGTCGAGTTCATTAACTCATTGGTTCCCGGGTTCCCCGTTCCGGGTGTCCGGGTTCCTGATCATTGGTTCCGGGCCGATGGTTGACTATCAATCTCACTACCGATCTCACTGTCGAGTTCATTACGGATCTCATTCAATGTTCTCCAATCAATGCTTGCACTGAAGGGGTCCTCGCCGAAGGATTTGGCGAAAATGCCCCGCCGATTTGGTCGCACGCTGGGTTCCCGGGTTCCCGGGTTCCCGGTTTCTGGTTCACGGGTTCCCGGTTCCGCGTTCCGGGCCGATTTCGGAGGGCGGCGAGGTTCCCGGGTTCCCGATTTCCTGGTCGATTCTCTTATCGATCGGTCTCACCATCGATCTCATTACCGACTTCTCGATCGATCTCACCATCGATCTCACAATCGATCTCACTATCAATCTCACAAGCGATCTCACTAGAGATCTTATGAGCGATCTCGCGATCGGTCTCACGATCGACCTTACAGTCGTCCTGACTATCGATTACACTATCGATCTCATTACCGATCTCACAATCGATATCAAGATCCAGAGTATCAATTTTCAAATCATCCACTGATTGGGGTTTTCTCAAATGTAATTGTTCTTTTCGGCGGGGCACACCGAGCCGCTGGATTGAGGGGCAGCAACGGTAGGGGGGGTCTGGCATAGGGGGGATGCATCGACCTGAAATCGGCGATACATCGCCGATAGATCGGCGATAGGCCTCCGACAGTGAGTCCGCACCCCCTGGGCAGGCTGGGGCTATTGGGCCCCATATCGGCGATCAATGGGCCATTATCGGGGGCTCGCAGACATGGATTAGCGATCCATGTATTTGGCGCGCGGTCGCCAAATCCATGGATCGGGGAAGGTGCCCTCCCCAACATGCGGCCGGTGCTGCCTCGCTCGGCGGCTGACATCCGCGATTTCCCATGGAAACGGGACCCGTCGCTGGTCCACGCCCCCTTCATCCATGCTTGCGATCGCCTGACATTGGGGGTCGATGCATCCCCCCCGATGCCTATCCCTTAGTGGGCCCTGGAAACGTTAGGGCCGTTTTGTTACCGGTTCCGTTTTACTGCTTTCTTGCCGTTTCCGACGCCGTTTTTTTACCGGTTCCGTCGCCGTTCTTTAATGGGTTCCCGCTCCGGTTCCAATCCTGGAGCCGTTTTTGCTGCCGTTTCCGGTCGCCGTCTTCTTGCCGTCTCCGTTTCCAAGGGACGCCTTCTCGGACACGGCGAAAAAAGCGGCCCTGCCGTGTCCGGGGCCCACTAAGGCCTATGCCCCCCTTATCAGTTGCCCCTGGTGGCTGAGGAGGAGGAGGAGGAGGAGGAGGAGGAGGAGGAGGAGGAGGAGGAGGAGGGAGGAGGAGGAGGAGGAGGAGGAGGAGGAGGAGGAGGAGGAGGAGGAGGAGGAGGAGGAGGAGGAGGAGGAGGAGGAGGAGGAGGAGGAGAGGCGGAGGAGGAGGAGGATGTCCAGGGCCCCGCCCTCCCGGCGCATCGCGTCCGTCCCTGTCTGGCCCCCCGCAGCGTCGGCGGCCCGCGCCGCCGCGCCGCCGCGCGGCGCGTGCAGCCGAGGCCGCACGGACAGCGGGGCGGCAGGAGGCGAGAGGAGGCAGGGGAAGCAGGAGGAGGAGGAGGAGGGGGGGGAGGAGGAGGGGGAGGAGGGGGAGGAGGGGGAGGAGATGGAGGAGGAGGAGGAGGAGGAGGAGGAGGAGGAGGAGGAGGAGGAGGAGACTATATGGAGGACATGGAGGAGGAGGAGGATGAGGAGGAGGAGGAGGAGGAGGATATGGAGGAGGAGGAGCATATGGAGGATATGGAGGAGGAGGAGGAGGAGGAGGAGGAGGAGGCCAGGTTCCCGACGTCGTGAACCCTTCGCAGCGTAGCCCCCCGGCGGTCCCGACCCCTTCCCCGGGACCAGCCTCTTGTCCCGAGAGTCGCTCCTGGGCGGGGCCAGGCAGAGGACCCCTGGAGGCTGAACACTGACAAACGAAAAAAACTGCTGCACGACGCGAGGATGTCTGGGGAGGAGGGGGGAGAGGAGAAGGACCCAGACAACCCTTCAACATTACTTGTTCAAGCCGCGGCCCCAGGGCTCCCGACCCACTCCCCAGGGGCGGCTCTGCGTCCTGGATCCGTTTCTGATCGTCCCTGGGCCCGGAAGCGGCCCCTGGTGCCAAAATCAAAGAGAAACGCCAGGATTGGAGACAACGTATCGACGGAGATCTGCCCAGAAGTCCAGCGCCTCGACTTGTTCGAGACACGGGCCCCCGACCTCTCGACCACTTCCCCAGGACTGGTTTCTCATCCCGAGCAGTTTTCTGACTGTCCCGAGGCCTGGCAAGGGCCCCGAGAAACCGGAAACAATGAAAAACATTCGCCCCGCTCTTTTCGAGGCGTCGGACGTCTGGGCAGGGCGGCGGGAGGAGAGGCCGCCGCTGCCGCCGCGCGAGGCGCGACAGCTGCAGCAGGGCAGGGCTTCGGCCGCGGCGAACCTCTTCCGAAGGGCACCGCCCGGGCGCCGCCGCGGCAGTGCGGCGGCGCCAGCCGCGCGCGCAGGTGGGCCCCCCGGCGGGCCTGGGCGGGCCCTGGCCGATCGCGGGCCCGGCCGCAGGCAGGTCTGCCGCGGGGCGGCGGCGGGGTGGCCACCTGGAGCGCCGAGAAAGCCTTGCCCTGGGCGTCCGCGGGGTTCCCGCCGCTCTGGGGGGGATGGGAAAAAGGAAGAGAAGGAGGAGGAGGAGGAGGAGGAGGAGGAACCAAAGACTGAAGAGGAGGAGGAGGAGGAGGAGGAGGAGGAGGAGGAGGAGGAGGAGGAGGAGGAGGAGGAGGAGGAGGGAGGAGGAGGGAAAGGAGGAGGGAGAGAGGAAAGGAAGGAAGGAGAAGGAAGAGGAGGAGGAGGAGGAGGAGGAGGAGGAGCAGGAGGGAGGAGGAGGCGGGAGAGGAGGACGAGGAGGAGGAGGAGGAGGAGGAGGACGAGTGTAAACCCAAGACTAAGGAGGAGGAGGAGGAGGAGGAGGAGGAGGAGGAGGAGGAGGAGGAGGAGGAGGAGGAGAGAGAGAAGAAGAAGAGGAGGAAGCGGAGGAGGAGGAGGAGGAGGAGGAGGAGGAGAAGGAGGAGGAGGAGGAGGAGGAGGAAGAGGAGGGCCTTTTCGCCTCATTTTCGGTGCCTGGACCCCCACAACTCGATCCAGTTCGAACACGTATCACAAAAGGATGGGGCTCGGGGCCACACTCGTGGTTCCACGATGCTGCATCTTTCCCGCGTCGTTGGATCTCAGGGGGGACGCGGCATGCGGTCACAGCGAAGTTTGTGGAGCACCTCGTGGGGCGCGCGAGCCCCGCCACAGCGAGCCCAGCGAGGGAACCGCTCGAGGTCGGACTCGCCGGGGGCTGGCTCAGCGTTCTGGGCACCTCCTGGGACTTCTTCGTCCTTCAGCCGGCTACGCGCAGCCTTGCAGTCTGTGTGTGTGTCGCTACTCTCCGAGCGCACAGCCTTTGCAGTCAGCAGCGTGTCACATGTACACTTGCGGACATCATCATGCCTAAGCCAGTTCAGTCAAGAGCTGTCCTGAAGTGGCCCCGGAGGCCAGAAGCTGGACAGAGCCACTGAACCAACAAAGGCCCAGGCTTGCGAGCGCCATACGCGCCAAGTGCCCCTGGGCAAAAGTGACCTTTGCTGGGCAACCTGAGAAGGGGGCCCTTTGGGGACACCGCCACGGCGCGCAAGCCGCTGCCACCGCGTCGCATTCAGCGACCGGGGGGGCCCCATTGAGCCCAAAACCTAAGGTCACTCCGACGTGTGGCCGATATGCAGCTGCTATGCAAAGTTCTCCCCGGTCCGCACTGGCAGCCAGCTCCGCCTCGCCCCGTGCATCTTGGCACCCGTGGAGCGCCCAGCAGCCTCGAGAACCATTCGGATCTGGTCCCCTACAGTCAGGGGACAGTCAGCCCGCATAGCAAGGATATGCGACCTTCCCGAGGCTACCCACTCACTCACTCACTCACTCACTCACTCACTCACTCACTCACTCACTCACTCACTCACTCACTCACTCACTCACTCACTCACTCACTCACTCCGTGGCGCGCAAGTCTCTCTGCGCCTCTGATGCTACAATGAAACACGCGGAAACGTCATGCACCGTGCCAAGGCTACCCTTGCATCCTTGCCCCTTCGGCACATCCTTAGCAGCTTCCGCTGGCCAGCCTCGTCCGAAGAGCGTCAACATGGGCCCCTCGAGGCCCTTGCATCCTTCCCGCGCGTCCTTTCGATAAACGCGTTGACTGTGCGCCCTGGCAGGTCCTGTGCGGCCCCTTGGCCGCCCCCTGGCACGCCTCCTCCCCGGGGCCGCGGCCGCCGCACCGGCGTCAGGAGCTCCCTGTCCCGAGTGCCTACTCGGCCCGCAGGCCCCTCCCCGCGGCCGTCCTCGTCTTCCCCCGCCTCCCTGGTCGGAAGGCCGCGTGCGACACCCCCCCCCCCCGCACGACTTCGAAGGGGGGAGGTGGGGTTCACTTCCCTCGGGAGGTCCCCAGCGACGTGAGCCCCACCTCCCCCCTGAGAGAACTCGTGCGGGGGAGGGGGGTCGCATGTGGCCTCCTGCTGGCGCTGAGTTGCCGCTGCGCGACCCGACCTGGGCCCCCACGCGGTGGGGGGCCGCAGGCGCCACGGCAGAAACTTGTTCCGAGTGGCCTCCTCCTCCCTCTCCTCCTCCTCCTCCTCCTCCTCCTCCTCCTCCTCCTCCTCCTCCTCCTCCTCCTCCTCCCGGCAGCACAAGCCCGCGCTGCAGGCCACGGGAGAACTCGCACGCGCTGCGAGCGGCTGCGGCGCTGGGGCGGCGGCGGGCCCTCGCCCACGGCCTGCTCGCTCGCGCGGCCGCTGCGGCAGCTTCTGGGACAGGCGCGCCCTGCCCAGAGGTCCTTCGAGGAAGGAACACCGGCATACACATAAACTTTCGGCGGCCCGTGCGGATTTCTACGCTCCGTGCGGATGTCTTGGCTCCGAGCTGGGCCCGCGGAGATGGAGGGTGGGGTCCACGTTGTGCATGGACCAGGCGCTGGAGCGCAACAGGTCGTTCCACATTGAATTCGTCAAGGCCGGCATGTCGCGAGGCGTCTTCGCCCCAGGGAAGACCCTCCCTGGCGAGCGGAGCGCGCCAGGAGCGGCGCCGGAGGCGCCGCAAGAGGGGCCCAGTTGAGCATCGTGCAACCGATCCTCATCCCATGCGGCGTGTCCTGGGCCCCACTGGCCGATTCACCCCCCTGATGGGGATAGGGGCCGTTCCCTTCGGGTTTCGAGGGGCGTGTCCCCGACTGGGGGGGGTAGTTTGGTGGGGGTCTCGAAGGGGATGGGGGTGGGGATAGGGATCGCCCACACGATACTGACCAGTGCAGATCCGAGCAATCCGCGCGGAGCGGCGCGACAGTTTCTGCCTGCGTGCTCTGCTCGTCTTCGAGTCCTGGCGGGGATGGGGATAGGGATCGCCCTCACGATACTGACCAGTGCAGATCCGAGCAAGCCGCGCGGAGCGGCGCGACAATTTCTGCCTGCGTGCTCTGCTCTGCGTCGAGCCCTGGCCGCCTCCGGCGGCCGTGCTGCCCGGAGGCCCTGGGCCGCCCCGCCTCCTCGCGAGGCCCAGGGAGCCCCGGCCGCCCCGCCCGCGGGCCCGGGCTGCCCGTGGGCCCGTGGGCCTGCGCGCGGGTCCTGGACGCCCCACAGCCGTAGGTCGGGCGTGTCCCCCTGTTTTTTGGGTCTGCGGGGCGAGAGCGAGCCTCTTCCGGTAAAAGCTAGGCGGGCCACGCACAGCTGCAACTGGGGAGACGGGGCACGGGCGGGCGGGGCCTCAGGCGGCCGGAGGGCGGGCCGGGGTGCAGGCGGTGCCGAGGAGCTTGCGTGTCCCCCTACAGGCGGATTTCGGACAGAACAAAAAAATCCGAAACGTGCGGAAAAAGCGCTCAACAATACTCACACAATTAGTCCCTCGACGAGTTGTGTTACTATTTTCGAAGAATCCCCCTGTAGAGGGACAGGCCCGACTTCAGGTCGTGATTCCGTCATCGATGTCACGGAGGGCGCACGGGTGCCCTGGGCGGGGCGGCGGAACTCCAGCGCACCTTCCCCCCGGTACCCCCCCGTGCCCATCGACAGCAGGTCCTGGAGACGAGGCCCGGCACCTGGCGCATGGACCCTGCGCAGTTGACCACTGGAGCAGTGCGTGCCGAGCCCCGCGTGTGCGCGCACCCCTGTGCAGAGTGGCGCCCTGCCTGCCCACGCGTACGCAGCACACCGTGTGGAACCCTGCGCGCGGAGACCTGTGCGAGAAGGACACTGGGGTGAGGACCCGCTGAAGGCCAAGCCACGCTGGTCCAAGCCGCCACCGGAGAGCGTTGCGGCACCTGGGGCCCGTGGTGGGGGAACAGAAGCCCGGCCAGCGGTCCGAGCAGGCACCTGGAGAAGCTGTGGCGGACGGGGCCAGTTCGGTGTTCGCCAAAGGGGTCCATGGCCCAAAGTGTCCCCAGCTTTTCGCGCCATGCTGGAGCTCCTGAGGCCCTTCTGGGCCTCGTGGGGTGTGCTCTGGAGGCCACGTGGGCCTCCTGGGGACACCTTGGGCCATGGACACCTCTGGCAACACCCGGACCGCGGAGCGGCAAGCCACAGAGGGCCCAAGCAGCCACCAGGAAAATGCGGCACCCAGGACCAGCGGGGCGGGAAAGCCATCGGGATCCAGGTCGTGAGTGTCCCGACAGCTGCGGGGGGAACGATACGACAGACGGGGCCGGCTCCTTTAAGCCCAAGCGAACACACCCAAGTGCAAGTACGGAGGGGAATGCCACTTGTCTTGCAGAGATCGGCGCGGGACACACTTGACGGTGCCTCCAGTGCCTGCCCCGCGCGGCGCGCTTCGCGGCGATCGGGGGAAGGAGGGCCAGCGCCCACGCAAGAGATCCGCGCGGACCTCCGAAAGTTTATGTGGCGTGCGGAGGTCTCCTCATCCTGAGGGTGTGATGGGAGGAGGAGGAGGAGGAGGAGGAGGAGGAGGAGGAGGAGGAGGAGGAGGAGGAGGAGGAGGAGGATGAGGAGGGGTAGGAGGAGGAGGAGGAGGAGGAGGAGGAGGAGGAGGAGGAAGAGGAGGAGGAGACGGAGGAGGAGGAGGAGGAGGAGGAGGAGGAGGAGGAGGACGAGGACGAGGAGGAGGAGGAGGAGGAGGAGGAGGAGGAGGAGGAGGAGGGGAGCGGAGGAGTTGAGGAGCCAGGTGCCCGCAGAGGGGCTCTGGCCTCCACGCTCACGGCGGCGGGCCATCGCCCACATGGGATGCACCTCGGGCCTGGCTCCGAATACAGTTGAGCATCGTTTGACCGATCCCCATCCCCACCAGCCAGCCAGCGCGGGCTGTGCCCCACTGGCCGATGTGCCCCCCTGGATGGGGATATAGGCTGCTCTCTTCGGGTTTCGAGGGGCGTATCCCCAACTGAGGTGGTGAGACAGTGGGGCTCAAGATGTGGGTGGGGATGGGGATAGGGATCCGTCCAAGAATACTGAACAGTAGAGACACACGAACGACAACTCTTGCTCTAAGAAGCCCGAAGACACACTTCCCGGCGATATGCAACTTGGCTATAGGTGACCGAAACGTCTCTCCAAGACCACTGAGGAGATACGTCGGCTGGCAAAAGCCGGTCTCTTCTATGATATGCCAGAGGGCAGAAGTCAGCCACTCCACACCGATACGATGAAACCACAGAAATCTCAAGCAGTGGATGCACAACTTTCTAATGCCTGGCTCTAGTTCATGTCAAGGAATGACTTCTACTTAGATAAGAGCCTCGGCGGCTTGAGCCACTCCACACCGATACCGCTCCCGGCCAGGCCAACCCTAGGCCCAGGATCGGTGCACGCGCTGTCCTGGCTTGGCTGAGGAAGGCGTACGCATCAATCCTTGGATGCTCATTCTGGGGACCTTCCTGAAGACATTCCTGGAGACACTCGCTCCACCCGTGCGTCGAAACTGCGTCGAACGTCCGTCGACTTGAGTCGACCCTGAGTCGAACCTGGGAGTCGAACTTGAGTCGAACTTGAGTCGAACCTGAGTCGAACTTGAGTCGAACTTGAGTCGAACAGATCCGTTAGGTGGGCCCCAGGAAGGTCCCCCAAACGAGCATCTAACAATCCTGCGCCTGTGATTCGACAAGCCAGGGTCGGCGTCGGCGTGCAATCGGCGTGCCCCAGATCACCGCCCTCCTGGGGCAGCCGAAGGTAACGAGCGCGTCAACGATTCTACGTGGGGCTATGGATCGCAAATTTCTCGGCGAACACGAGATTGAAAAATGTGTAACGAGACTGGGAAACATGAAAATCAAAAATTTCTCAGCGAAACACGAGCGTGTCAACGATTATACGTGGGGTTCTGGATCGAAACATTTCTGGATCGAAAAATGTGGTGCCAGGATGATTGAGATGAGCGGTGACGACTGTCGAAACCATAGCAGTGGTGATAAAAGGTCCGACGAACCAATGGGGCAGTCAGGAGGGGCTGGAACAGCAACAGAAGTGTCGTGCGACGGACGGCGAGGCACCAGTGACATAATCTGGAGTCGCAGGAGAACGGTGGAAGAAGGCGCGGAGAGCGAGAGGGCAGGACCAACGAAAAAGGCCATACATCACACAAGTGCCCGAGATGACTTTTCCGACGCCGCATGCCGGGGCAGCCTCTGCACTCCGCTGGGCCTCAACAACCCTCCAGAGCCTGCGGCGCTGCACTGGCTTCAGGCCCAGCTCCACGAGGTCCTCGTACTCGAGCACGGCGAAGTCGCTCGGCACCTCTACGCCCAGGCACCGCACGACGCGCTCGGCACTGCCGCCCAGCCCGGCGCTGGCCAGCATCGCGTTGACCTGCGCAGCACCCTCGGGATCGGAGTGGGCAGCTCCGCGCTCTCTCCTCGGGGGCGTCCACGAGGGGGGTTCGCAGATCAGGGCCCGAGGCGCGGGCGCGGCCCAGGGGGGGCCCAGGGCACGTGCCGAAACGAGGACAGGGGGCCGTGCAATCTGGGGAGATGTCATGGCCCTGGCCGTGAGATCCGCCCCTCCATTGCCGTCACCCCGCTCTTGGCCGCCCCCGGTCTCCACGGCCCCACCTCATCCTCAGGGGCGCCCCGCGCCCGAGCAGTCGGCGGCGCCGCCCAGCCGCACGAGCACCGCAGCTGCGAGCACTGCGAGCACTGCAGCTGCGAGCCGCAGCGGCCGGCGCACCGCGGGGACGCGTCGCCCCGCGAGAGCCAGCCGGGCGCGCGGAGCGGGCCGCCCTGCGGCCCCTGGCAGCGGCCCCGCGGGGGCGCCGCGGCCTGCTCCGTGAGCATCGCGAGCGGCGCGTCGCAGCGAGACGCCAGGCTCGCCGGCACGGACTCCGGCGCGCCGCCGTGCCACCCCTCCACGCCGCGGCGGAGCTCCGCGCGGCGGTTCTGCAGGGCACGCACGTACAGGTCGTCCATGGCGGGGTCGGGCCCGAGGCAGGCGCCGGCCTCGGGCGCCGGGCCTCGGGGCGACGGGGTCTGCACGGGTCCACCGCCGCCGGCCGAGCCAAGCTTTGGCCCAAGAGAGGTGTAAAACATGTAGGTGTGCATGAATCTATGCCTCCGTGGCCAAACCAGGGGGGAGCCTACACCGCTCCCACAACCCTTCGCGAAAGCAA